AAAAAAAAGAAAAAAAATCATGTTAAATTTCGAGCAAGTAACATTGTTCATATACTTAAGATTGAATAGTCATAATCAATGCCAAATAAATCTTTGGGGTATGTTGATTTCTTTCTTTCTTTGTCGGATTTAGTGCGGCTTTGCCATCTATTTCTTCTCGCCTAACCACTCGAAATATATATTGATGAAAATATGTTTTAGAGAATTATTGGAAATAGTATATGACAGAAGAACTTGATTCAACGGATTGATTGCACACTCGATGTCATCATAGATTGATCAATGTTTACGTTATAAATTTCTTTTTATATTTCGATCAACTTCAAAGGCGTCAGATTGTGTCCCATATATATATATATATTATACTTTTAAGAATCACTACATCAACCGTTACTTTCCGTTTTTCTTATTTTATTTCATCTTAATAGCATAATATGTGAAATTACTTTTTTTCTTCTTCGTCTTCTTCTTCTTCTTCTTTTCTCTTATTCATCTGTATACTATCAGTATAGAATAATCCTACTATAATGAATCCTTTCAATCGCCGCGCTACAATGATGTTAGCATCAACAACTGTTTTCTTTGCAATTTTATTCTTTCATATCTTATTCCATGACTCAGTATGTCAATGATGATTTGTTAGATTCTACTAAGTAGTAGTATAGTAGTAGTAGTAGTAGAAAATCAATAATCAAGTCTAAATAAACATTATCTTGATAATAAAAAATTAGATGATCTTCTATCACTTATACTAAAAGATAGAAGAACGATACAAGTGAATGATATAATCATCAATGATTATTCAATTTGCGATGTATCAGATATAGTTAGCTAGTCTATATTTAAGAAATTGACTTTCTCTACTTTATTTTGTTCATTAAGATACATATTTAATATAGAAAAAGAAAAGATTTGAATCCCTAGTGATTATTCTATTCTATTCGAATTTATGTTTGGTTTTTTTGTAGATGAAACGATAGATGATTACACTTAAGTGGATAGACAACCTATGAAATGTATCGTCATCGACACATTCACTCTATATACAACATGTATATAGAATGAGAATTGCGTGATCATTGTAATGAATTGAGGCGAAAAGAAATACATGATAAGACATGCATATAGATGTCTAAATGACTGACTGGAAGGGCTCGTTATACTCACCATTGAGATAAGAATCGGAATACATATATATATATATATATATACATTCTCAAAAGAAAACTTAGTGAAATACATCTATCAACACGTGATAATAATTGATTTGTCTCGTAAGTATTCAGGTACATTATTATGACTATTGAATAATTATTCTTCATTCTCTCTTTCTGCGGTTGAACTCATCCGAAAGAAAGAAAGAAATCTGACTCTTCTTTAAACTATCAATGTTTCTTTATTCTCCTATTACTCTAAACAGTAACTATGAAGAATATCCTTCTACTTCTTCTTTTATTCTAGATGAAATTCATTTGATAATTATTTAACCAAAAAAAGAACATGTTCAATTAAACTTTTTTTTCTCATTTATTTAATGGAATATAAACAGCAAATTACTCTTATCGGACAAACATTTGTCTGTCTTCTATTTTTCATTGTATATTGTAAGTATAAGTTTTCGTTCTAAAAGCTTCAGGCAATATTTTCTTTTTTAGTTAGTGGTATATCAGCCAATATCGAACCAGAAATAATTTCAACACAAGATGAAATTATTACTTATATTAATCATACAGCAAAACTTTCATGTATTATACAGAATAGAAATCGACAACATGTATGTTTATAAGAAAAAAAAAATAATTTCAAATTTAACATTAAATTTAGGTAACATGGTCTCGAGTTAATTTTATAAATGAAACTCGTAAAATAACTGATCTTTTATATGTTGATTTACTTAAATATACACCATTTACTCGTTATCATCTCACACATTTAATTGAGAAAGATAATCAGGAATATTGGAATTTAGAAATACGTCAAGTTCATCTAGCTGATCAAGGTTATTATAGTTGTGTTGTAACAGCATTGAAACCAATATCAAAAATATTCTATATTAAAGTTATAGGTAATGATTTATATTTTGAAAATTTAATCGTAATATTTTTTTTTTCAAAGAAAATACACGTAATCTTTCACTTGCTTTACGTTCAACACTAGAAATGCAACAACAAGATAAACAAGAAATAATTCCATCATCATCATCATCCTCATTAATTCAGACATCATTATCAATGATGTTATTAAGAATTATTTTAATATTAATTATATGAAACTTGTGAATATAATTTGCAATTATTGCAAATTCGAATTAACAGTGATGTATTTTATTTGAATAATGTTTTTAAAATTAATTTGACTTGATAGAAAAAATTGTACTGTATTTGTATTTGAACAAAAAGAAAATCCAATAGTTCTCTTTTTCTTTTTTCGACTGATTTGTTTTAGTCTATGAATAAACTGGTGAGTTTATAAGTTTGAATTATATTATGAAAACTTATGTAATTAACTGAGTTTATTGATGAATGTGTCGATATGATGATACTTGTAAGTATTTCAATTACTATCATCTTTTAAACAATATACTTACGTTGTTGGATTATTTCTTGATTGCTGTTGAACTTTGCATTTGAAAATGTTCTATCTAGTACTAATTTTCTTCGATTACGAGTATTTTTGATCATGAAAACTAATATTTAGAGAAAAGCGAATAAATATAGGAAATAATTATTAGACACACTCGAAATAGCATATTGATGCTACCAATTCGAGGCAGACAAAGAGAAACAGTTGACGTTGACATTCATCGTAAAAGTGCCCTTTAGACTGATTTTAGATGGCCTCGATCTTTTTTCTCTTTGTTGCTGGTGGGATGCATTACATTGTGCTTGTCATATGGTATATAATAAATGGAAAACGAGCTTCTCTATTTTTATCAATACTTGAATAATTCAAATAAATAAACAAACATTCTCAAGAATAGTTAAAAGTATATATATGTAAAAGATTACAGATGGAAACTCTGAACATAAATGAAGTTGATGAAAGAAATGCCAGTATGACAATGACACTTGCTTGATTCAATTAGTTTTTGCTTGTGGAATTCTCTTCTGTCTGATTAATCTCTGATGGTAAAAAAATTAAAAATCTCTATACAAGATAAAAGCATTCTATTCCATGTTCTGATTATTCCATATCGAAGATTGGTTTGTCGAGAACCAAAAACACGTATAAAAACCTCAGTGTTTACATAATTAAAGCGACGTTCATTAATTATTCAAGTAGTTTTAGATTTATCTATAATTGTAAAATTGCTAAGAACTTTCTTGATGTATCTTATTAGATAATTCATCTATATCAACAAGATATTTGTATCTAAGACCTTCGATATCTGTAGGGGTATATTTGAGATTTGATCGATGATACTAATCATTATCAGCCTCAATAGTACTTTCGTTCTAACTCATGTCGCATATTACAGGCAAACTAGCTAATAAAAAACACAATCGTAGAAACTATATATAATATTTACATTTTCTAAAAGAGCAAAGTACTGAAAAGACATTCGTGCTTTTTCATCTACCTTGTCTAAATTTTTAATAATTATCGAAAAGTTAATTGCATTCAAACTATGTCGAAACACTTTTATTAAATTACATATTAGAGTTAATCCAAAACACTAGATTAGATTGTCCTTTAGTTTCCTTTAATCTTCTATGTAATTAAACAGTTTTTAATGGATGATTTTCCGTTTGATTATGAACGATAAACATTACTCCGTACACATGATGCAACAGTATATAATTTTAAACTACAACTATGTCTTACACGATGAAAACTTCTTATAACATAGTAATTCTTCATATAAGTGGAAATCCCCATTGTCTTCTATAAAACAAGTTTGCATGTTTTCGAAATTATTTTTTATCAAATTTCATCATGTAAACAAGACATTCAGAATAGAAACAAAGACTATATAGTAAATCAACCTACTAATAAGATAACCTTCTCAAGTGGTAAAAAACGTTTGATTATAAATTTTGTTCATAAGTACAGATAAATAAAAATCATTGTCGATACTGAAGAATTTATTTTTTACTACTATTTTTCCGATAAAAAAAATCATACTTTGTCGGTAGAATAAAGTGCTACAGGAAATTTTATATTATAAAGCTAGTATCGCCTTTAAATGTCATTTTGCGCTCACATCTATTTAACCTTTTTCTTGTCTACACATTTCTTGTAAACAAAAAAATTTCATGTCAAAGGTTTCTTTCTTTTACTAACTCGGCAATATCTCGCTTGAAATTTTAATTTTCATTAAAAATCATTGTTATCAATGAATTATGTTACAATTAGACGGCGAATACAAGAACATTGTTTTAAGATATTTAATTTCGCATTGTATTATCAATATAGAATATCTTGACATTGAAAAATGATTGATGTACTAATAAAATGTCTTGTATTCAAGGTTATTATTCTTCTTTTTCTTTTTACTTTAGGAAGTCTAAAAGTTTTAGTTATTTAGAGATGAAAAAAGAAGCATTCATATTTTATCATTTCTTTTAATAAATATTTTTCAAAGTATATAAATATTGAATGATGATGTAAGACACATTATAGATTGAAATAATTCTTTTGTTATAATAGAAAAAAAGAGAAGAACAATTGAAGTATTTAATTGATGAAATGTCTCCGATCAATCAATACCTTTTTCGAAGACTTTGAAATGCAATGAACTAATGAAATTCTTTTAAAATAATAATGCTTTTTAATTTCGACTAATTATAATATTCGATGTATAATCCTTAAGGTCAAAACATGTCTTTGTTTTCTTCAATCAATTGTACGTTAATCTTTTTATAATTATTTTCTACCCTTTTACATTATGAAACAAAAAAAAAAGAAAAAGAATCCTCAACATCAAACATTTGTAATGTTGCTTTCAAAATGATAATCATTTATCATTGGTATATCAAACGTGATTTGTTACTAGAAACTTTTTTTGAACATTCTTTCATCATATAGAAGTTCTTTTTTGATTTATTTATCACGAATTGTCATAATGTGATTTGAGGTACATGTTGACAAATCTAAAATATCTTCACAATATATTATATTTCAATTCCATAGGGATTTTGATGACAGCTCTTTTTAAATAGTATATTTTGATAGTATTTCTTTCTCTATATCAATCGATTCATTAAAACAAACCGCTATTGATATGATCTGTTCATGCTAATGAGTAGTCCGTTGTACGATATACATATATTCAAATAAGATTAGATCAATTCATATATACTTATACAATATTTTATGAATGAATTTTTTCGACAAGAAAAAGATTTGTTAATTTTTATCAAAATGATCTATTTTAAATTCATATGCTTATTTAAATGATAATAATAATAGAAGATTAATTAAAGATATTTAAAATTCTTAAATTAGACCATTTATAATCGTATAAGAACACTGGTAATAACAGGCAACAACAACAACATCGACGGCGATGTTCTATTGCAATACATCGTCATCTCGTTTCTTGTCATTTCTTCTTTTTTTTTCTAACCATTTTGTTCATCAGATCTTTCGCTTTTTGCCAAAATTGCCTTCGCGCGTGTAGAACTTTTTCAAATTGAATATGTCAATTCGATAGTAGACACTTTTCTCTTTCAAATAATATATATAATGTTAAAAAAAATTATTTTAATCTCCATGAAATAATTAAAAACTTAACGAATATACATCAAATCTGATCTTGTTCGTCATATTTTTACATTATTTTTTCTATGTTGGCATGATTTATTTCTAGGAAAATTTATATCATTCGATAGAAAAAAGTCTTCTCTATCAGTTTATATATTAATATTGCGAAAATTTTAAAAATTTCTATGAAAAATATTCAAATTTGTTGAAGAGGGCTTGAACAATCAGTAAAAATATCGAGCGACAAAAACGGTCCTATGTGCGGTTCGAGTCGTTTAGGGAGAAGGAAGAAGAGAAAAAAAGCATCAACGACAACGACCAACATACACCACCACCATCATTCTCATTCATTCTATCGACATCGTTCTCTCTCTCGCGCGCGCACACATACACACACAACTTTTTTTTTGCTTTGCCTCATATTCATATACACATTCATTTCTTAAATAAAACAAAATGACTGATCTTAGTGGTACAACATCAACATCACTTAATACATCTCAAACAACATCAGGTTCAAATGCTAACAAAAAAAGTAAAACAACTGCTGCAAGTAAAAGCAAAAAAGCTAAGAGTACAAGTAGCCATCCAAAATATTCGGCTATGATTAAACAGGCAATAACACATTTAAATGATCGTAATGGTACTTCGAAAGCAGCTATATTAAAATATATCTTGGCTAATTTTAAAGTTAATTCAGCATCAACAAATCAACATCTTAAATCGGCATTACGTGCAGGTATAAAAAATAAATCATTAAAACAAACAAAAGGTGTTGGTGCAAGTGGAAGTTTTAAATTATCTTCCGATGCAGGAACAACAAAGAAAGGTTCATCAGCTGGTAAAAAGAAAAAATCGACAACAACAACAACAAAAAAAGCTTCAAGTGCAAAACCACGAAGTCGATCAAAAACACCAGGTGGAAGTAAAAAAACAGGTGGTAGTAAAACAAAAAAAGCACGATCATCAAGCAAACCAAAAGCAGCAAGTGGTGGTGCTACGAAACGAAAACGTTCACCTTCACCAGCGAAAAAAGCACCAGCAAAGAGAGCAGCTCCCGCAGTTGCAGCTGCAGCTCCAGCCGTAGCCGCACCATCAACAACTGCTCCTGCTAGTGCTGCTGCTGCTGCTCCAAGCAAAAAGAAAGCAACAACAGGCGCTAAAAAAGCTAAAACAGGTTTGTACTAACTTTATTAATATTAAATATTTTTTATATGTTAATTTTATTTCTATATGTTTAGTTAAACCAAAATCTAAAGCAGCTGCTAAACCAAAATCAGCAGCTAAAGCTAAGAGTCCAAAGAAGAAAGCAGCAGCACCAAAGAAAAAAGCTGCTGCTAAACCAAAGAGTAAAGCTACAAAATCTAAATCAACTACGGCTTCATCAACACCAGCTGCTGCTGCTGCTACATCAACTACAACTTCCAATACTGCTACCAGTACCAGTAGTGCAACTCCTGCAGCAAAAAAAGCTCGTAAGAGTGCAACAACTAAAAAAGCCAAAAGTCCAAAAAGATCAACAGGCAAAAAATGAATTAAATTATATGAGAAACTGATGTATATAAACGTATAACATCTATTTTTTCGCGTGTTTGTACCCTGTAGATGTACTTTTCTACTTCTCATCACTCATTGCAGATACTATACTCCTTATATCGTCTTCTATAACATTTACTTTTGTTTCTATTCGATGTTGTTTTTGTTTCTCTGTTGTGTTTGTAAGGCGTATTATGAACGCCGAGATTACTATTTGCTATTACTATTATTATAACTATATTCGTGTGTTGCCCTTTTTTTTCTGTTTTGCTTTTGTGTATATATATAGACGTACATTCTTTTTCCTGTCTCGCCACTGTCCGAGATGAATAAAAACCGAAATCTTATTCTTTATTTCAATAAGATCCGATGAAAATGCATAGGGTATCATATGTTCACGGTACTTTTCACATATACATTGTCTCACATAAACATATCAACAAATAAAGCACGTAGATACGAAATAATAGTCGTAAGATTCAAATACTGAATAGAAAGAAACAAAAGAGCTCATCATTTTTTTTTCTTCTATTGATTGTCTCTCGAACTTTATATACAATGAACGAATAGAAAGAACGAAAGAAAAAGGTGAATTCAAACGAAAGATTTCTTTTTTTTTCGTATATTCGTTAATATCAAATAAAATCGTACGAGATTATATAAACATACGAACGAATGACCAATAAAAAAATTTCGAAAATGTGAATATAAGCTTAAGTAAACATATACATATAAACGGTAAAGTTAAATATTCATTTCAAGTAGTTCTATTTTGCTTGTATTTGTCATACCTTTGATATCACAATTAACAGCATGTTCTGATTCTTTTTTCAAAAAAAAAAATTTCATCGATTGTTAGTTTAGTTGCACGCTGTTTTTTTTCGCTCGCTCGCTCACTCACTCTTTCTCTCGCAATCATATATACATATATATCTAAAAATAGAGAATTGATTAACTTTTTATTTTATTTTAATCGATCATTAAATTCTTGATACAATAATTTCTACAACGGGTATATCATTATATTTGTCTTTAATTAAATCTCGAACTCGTTCTATAATACGTTTTTTCATTGTATCAATATCTTGTTTTTGAGTCCATTCATAAGTTTTTAAATGTTCGACTAACCAATTGGGTGTCATAAGCATAAAATCAAGATCAAAACTCAACGGTGTTCGATGAATATGAATTGTGCATGATTCAAGTTTAAGTCCATTCATATGAGCTGTTTGATCTAGATATTTTCGTGATCGAGCTGATCGATTTGTTGATGATGAACTAGTCGTATTTATTGAAAAATATTTTGGATAATTAAAATAAGTTAATGTATCATTAACGCATGTTTCAAGTTCTTGACTTTTATCATAATTTTGAGTTTCGTCAAATGCATGATACCATAATGTATATAGAAAATAACCTGTTTTGGGTTTAAGTAATTTTGATACAATTGGATATATATTACTTTCAGACATAAGATGCATTGAAGCATTGCATAGAATAAAATCGAAATAATCTCGAGGTAAATTAGGTGCTGAAAGACAATCTTCAGCTGCTACTTGATATATATTAGGAGTTTTAATATTATCTCGAGCACGTATACACATTTGTTCGGCTGGTTCAACAAGATATAACGATGATGGTGATATATGAATATATTCAATCAATAGTTTCGAAATTAAACCAGTTCCAGCAGCTAAATCCATAATATGAAAATTTTTCTCGTCTTCTCTTCGATGTTTTTCAACAAATTTCACAAGACCCATAGCCATATCCGTAAATATTTGATATTGACTAATTAATATTTCATATGCATTAGCTCGCATATGCCATGAATCAATCGTTTGTTTGCGTTCATTATCAGTCATTATATTAAATCAAAAAAAAATAAAATCATATTTTAAACAAGCTTTATTTATTTCACAGTTTATATACTTTGAATGAAGACTTATTAATTAAAAAAAAGTGAATTATAATCTGTTGTCGATTTCTGTCTCTTACTTATCATTTCACAAGTATAGAAAAAAAAAGGAAGAAAATTAAATAACAAAATGAAAATTATCAGTCATGCAGACAAAGCTCGTAATTTAATTGAAGCAATCAGATAGAGAAAAAAAGAAGGAAGCTAATAGCATTGAATAAAATAAGATCACTGTCATATAAATATGTATATATAATCTATTATAGGTTGTGTTAGGAATGAAATAATAACAGTCAATAAAAAGATATTTGTGTTTTGTCAAACGTTTAAAATAAGGAAAAAGAAAGATATTATCAGATCGAGCGATGTGAAAAAGATTAGAAGAGACAAATGATAAGCATTTAAATTCTCAGTTTATCTGAACACGGTTTAAGTTGAATTTTGTTCGGCTTGCTTTTAGCATCATTTATAATTGATGATGAATGAGAAGGTACAGGAGAAGAAGAAATATTATGTGCTTTTCCAATATGTTCACGCATCGTTCGAATAAAGTCATTACTAAATTCTGGACAACGTAATTGTGTATCTTCAAATAAATGTCGTAATTTTTGAAATAAATCAACACCAGTTTGTGTATCACGTGCTGAATTATTACCGGAAGGTGAAAGATTATAACGTACGGAAAGCTATATGAAAAAGAAAAGAACATGATTTAATTAGAAAAAAATTAAATTTTTGTTTTCTGCAAGAATTACATCATTAAAAACAGATTCTAATAATGGATTAAATTGATGTGATTCGGCATGCTAAAAGAAGAAAAATAAAGTTAACAATTGTGGAAAATTTTTACACGTTAATATCGGAATTTTAAAAAAAGGCAGTCACGCAAAATACTTAAAATTGTTTTAATCGAAATAGCTGGAGTTCTGTAACTTTCACTATTCGCATAAGCGACGCAGCTTCAATTTTTAGGGGACGCAATATACTTTTAGATACGATTGTATAGTGTACATCCCTCCACATACTGATGGGTGGCGCAGGTTCAGTTTTTTAGGGGACGCAATTGCTAACCCGTTGTTTGCTGGCGCGCCTCCGATGACTATTCGAGAGAGTGGATCAATACCTTCTCTCAAATAGTGAACGGTATAGAACTCTAGCTATCTTGGTTTAAAAAATTATAAGCATTTTTTTCAGAATTCCGATAGTAGTAATTTCAAAGTTCATATAACAGATTAGCTTGTTTCTATTATGGTATATGTATCTTACACCTATTCCGATCAATCTGTCTAAAGCACCGACGATAGAAATAATTCCCGACATTAGAAGAATTATATTTCAATTCTTTGTTTAAAACTACCTGTGATTTATCTAGCCGTAGGGCAGGAATGGCGGCACCCTTCCGGAGAACGATTTTGCCCTCCAGAAATTAGGTTTTCGCTCTCCCGGAAATCGCTATCGCACTCTCGAAAGGAAAAACACTAAAAACTACTCTTATTAACATGTTTATATGTTTCTCATACCGAGTTTGATGGTAATTTTACTGTAGGAACCCATGGTTCTGCTTCTTCTTTTGACCTAATAAATAGAAATATTTTCGAATATATAATATAAAATCGATTGTTTTTATTTAACTTACTTATCTTCATCTGAACTTGATTCACCATCTGATCTTCCACCATGCTCATGAGTTTTTTTCCAATGTTGAAAACGTGAAATTAATTCCACTAAATATTTCGTTGGTTTAGTTGTTGAAACAAACTTCAATCGACGTAATTGTTGAGCTGTTGGTCTCTAAATAAATTCAAATACTTATTTTATGTCTTTTTTTCCTATTAAATCTACAAACATGTTCGGGATTTTTTTGTAAACAAGCTTCAACAAATTCTCGAAAACTTTTCGAATGATTTTCAGTTAATTGTGGTGGTGGAGTTTTAGGAATTTGAAATAAAACACGCATTGGATGTAAATCAGCATATGGTGGTTCACCTTTTACTAGTTCAATCGCTGTTATACCAAGTGACCATATATCTGCCTAAAACATTCAATAAGAAAAATATCAATCAAGTATTTCTGTTACTGTTAAACTTAATGTATTATGTATATATAATGAAATAGTGTTATTGCTAATTATATTAAATGAGATTCATCGAAAATGTACTAAGGGAATCGAAGATGTTGTAATTGCATCGGAAAAAAAGAACTAGAAATGAAGTTATTCTTCTAATTCTATTATTTCTGAAGAACATGTAGCATTGATTTTTTATATTTTAGTTTTAATGAAGAATAACTTCAAATAACATATTGTTCAATTATTTATCATATTCGAAGAGATCATCTTCACTCTGCTTTATCTCTTAAATATATAATGTAATAATAAACAGACGTGATAGAATAGATTTGTTCTAAACATCTTCGAAGTGTTTGTTATAAGAAGAGTAGGACTCTCGATCTATATTTAATATATTATAGACAATATTGAAAGAACATTTTGTTACTAATTAAAGATATATTTTGAAATAATTCTAATTCAATTAGTTTAAATAATGGGTGATTAAAAATGTAGATAGACAGTTTTTCTATGACATAATTATATTTTTCATATGTTAGAACGAACCGAAATGTGATGAAAAGAAACTGCATCTTGATAACCTTTCATGTATTCATGTTATTATCAAATTATCTACCTTTCTTCTCTTTCGATCTGAACAGTGAGTGTGATGTAAAATGAACACATATAATTAACATATGTTCATCTGTTAACGGCTCATGAATGCATCGTTAATCAGGATAGCGATTATTATCATCTTTTGACATAACCAAGAGCATTCTCTCCCTTATACAACCCATTTTGATTATATAATAAAAGATAAATTTTTAAGGTGCAAAAAGAAATCTTCATATTCGAAGAATTTTCTTTTTTATAAAGAAAAATATTTATATTATGTAGTAAACATAACGATCATATTCTCTGTCTATTATGATAAAACATTCTTACATATTCTAGAGTTGTATCAAGCATGAAATTTCATTGGAGAACTGTTTAATTGCAAGTTAATAGCTTTGATATCCTTGAGATTAATATAAACAGAATAGATGCTCTTCTGTCAACATGAGATAAACTCATGAGATATGATGCTTGCCTGAAAAATCAATATTCTCTACGAAGACTTTTATTAACATTCCAAGTTGTTATGATAGATGAGTCGAACTATGACTTTTGTAGGATATCTTACCGAATAATCATATTTATGTTGTAGTATAACTTCTGGTGACATCCAAAAAGGTGTTCCAACAAATGTACTTCCTTTATTCATAGAATCTGTTAATTGTTTAGCAACACCAAAATCTGCTAATTTAACATCACCATGTTCAGAAAGAAGAACATTAGCAGCTTTAATATCACGATGAATTTTCTTTTCTGAATGTAAATATTCAAGACCTTTAAGAACTTCACGTAAAATTATTGATATATTCTGTTCATTAAATGGACCAGGTTTCATAAGATCAAGTGCTGAACCACCACCGAGATATTCCATAACAATCCATAATTTCGTATCCTTTGAAAAAAAATTAATTATAAAAAAAAAATACATATTAATCTTGTTTTACTTTTAAATAAGAACCAAAATATTTCGTTATATATGGTGAATTACATTGTGAAAGTACTTGAATTTCTTGTTGAATATCTTCAATTTCATCTTCAGCTTTTTCCAAATCAATAATTTTAATTGCAACTATATTCGATGTTTTTATATTAATACCTTTATAAACTTCCTATATATCATACAAAAAATAAAAATAATTCATACGAAATTAGAAATAACTACTTACTCCAAATGATCCTCGACCAATATGTTCGAGTCGTTGAAAGACTTCTTCGGGTTCTGTTTTACCCTATAAAAAATTAAATTTTTTAAATTATCATTATATATAATTTCTTACATACCTGTTTCTGTAATATTTGTGGACTTTCACTCATTGAAATTAGACAAAACAATTCATATGCAAATTTGATGTTTCATTTTTTTTGCATTTATTTATTTAGAAAAATCTACATAATAAATATTATATTACATGAAGCAAAAAAAATCTGTCTCGATTTTACTCGTTGTTCTATAAAAATTTGATTGTATGCATTTGAATATGAAGAGAAATAAATACTTCACAATTTATTCGTTCTTGATTTTGAAAATATTATCAAGAAAGATATATTTTTGACTGACAATTATTATGATTGGTTGAATATCTAAACCATACAAAAAATTGCAGCCGTTTTTTTTGTATTTTCGAAAGACCTTGTGTTATATATCAAATACGGACGAATGACTCAGTAATTTAGCAAGATGCTCTATCATTTTGCAATAAATTTTTTTTCGTGATTATAAATAGACAATATTAAACGAGTTTCATTATGTGTTTCGCGTCGAAATCAAGAAGAGATCTTTTAGAAGGTACAGAGCTTTATTTTTTCGTAGATACTCTAGATTATATCAGATAGAAAAATCGAATTTTTTTGGACATTAAAAAAAAAGCTAAACATATGCTTCTTCTTGCTCGTTTATTCAATATTTATTCGATTCGTCATTCTAGTAAAACCCGTGAATACTTTGCCAATCTCAAAAAATTCTATCGTTCAACAACATTGGATTTATTTATGGCATCAACTAATCGAACATGTTTTGTCTTTGATAAAGAAGAATCAACAAAAATTCTTATTCAAATGATCTATGAAATACCAACAACAACAGTACGTCGTAAATTTAATTTATTACGTTCTGTTGATGAATCCGTTTCACAAACTATACGTCGTTTAACAGCAAATATTGAACGTTCTTCAAAAAAAGTCAATTTTAAAGCAAATAAACGTCGTGAAAAACAACAGAATAATAGTTCTAATACTTCTACTGAACAAGACTCTATTATTATTCAATTACTTGATAGTAATAATGAAATAATTGATGAAAATCAAACTAATAAACAAGCATGGTTAAGCTGTCGAAAATTATTAATTAATGAACAAACTTATGATGTTGAATATAATGCACCAGGTTGATTATTTCACATTTTTATTTACGAATTTTTGCATTTTATTCTTTTAGCTGTTATAAAGTTTCGTTTTCCTGATATTATTATGACAAATACAATAGTTACAGCATTAGTAGATTTAGATTATGGTGATTGGGAACATTCATTATTTGATTGGTATGTAACAGATGAAATAAAAATACAAGCGAATGATGAAAATGAAGATACGATTGATGATAGTCAATGGATACATGTACATCGTGGTCCATTTTGTACCTTTCATGATGAACATGTTAATAAATATGTACGTCTTTCATGTTTACCTCGAAATGATTTACTACGGCAAGGTATGCAAGCTGTACATGTATCAAAAGCACGAATTATTCCATGTCCCATTGATTTACCAATGAATACAAGGCATCAATTAACACAAGATTATTTTCCAATTGATTCAAATGAGTATGTTTTATCTTTAGAATAAGTTTAATATTTATTGTTTTTGCTTAGTCTTCGTCTAGTTTCTTATAATATATTAGCAAATGGATATGCATCATCAACTGGTGCAGGAGAGATTATATATCCATATTGTCCACAAGATTATCTTGAACATGATTATCGAAAACCACTTCTTCTAAGAGAAATATTAGGTTTTCATGCTGATATAATATCAATACAAGAATGTGATACAAGATTTTTTGAACGTGAACTTTCATTAGTATTAAAAGAACATGGATATTTAGGTGATATGAAAATAAAAAGTGAAAATGTACAAGAAGGTGAAGCAATTTTTTATCGTAAAGATCGATTTACGTAAGATGCTTTATTTTATTTTATTCAAATTAATATATATATGATAATGTTTTAGTGCTATTAATAGTCATAGTATAAGAATAGGTGACTATTTGCGTGATTCAAAACATCTAGAACATATTCGTCAACGATGTGTACTAGTACCGGAAATTAATACACATTTATTAGAACGAAATACTATATTACAAGTAAGTGATTTAGAATGTCTTCACTTTAGAACAAGACAGACAGAATATTATCACATTACATACAGATATACAATATCAAATAGTCGATTGATATTTAGTCATAAACAACATTAACATTTAAATGTCGTTAATAAAATATATTAGAAGTGACATAGATTATATCCACGATCAGATGAATACGAAAAAATATTTATCTTTCATGAATATATATGTTATATTATTTGATTTTCATTGAACCATACAGTTTTAGGAACAAAATAATTTCAGTTACATTAGAATAGAATTCTATCGATATATATTGACAAGTAATTTCTGATGTTATTCATAAAAATTAATATTACCCTCAAAGAATTCAAGAGCACTTTTTTTTATATACAAGCAAACTGTCTGTGAATCTTGCTTGAAGCATCTGATAAATAGACTTAACTAATGCATATTATTACATTCAGATGTTATATGATTATATCATTTATTAGGTTTTAGCATTGCAACCACAAGGACAAACTAATGAAATATTCTTAATATGCAATACACATTTATACTTCCATCCTACAGCTGATATTGTTCGATGTTTTCAAGTTGTAGTGTCTTGTGAACATATCAAAGAAGTCAAACAATTTTATGAACAACAAGTAATTTCTATTTCTTTTTTCTATAATATAAACATCTATATTTATATATATATAGAATAAAAATGTTTCAATTATATGGAGTGGTGATTTCAATGCTAATGTAACATCATTAGCATTTCAATTTCTTTTTTCTGGTTGTCTATTAACTGATACAAATCATCGTTCATATAATGAAGGTAATTCTATAAATCATGAAATAAAACCTTATGTTTTTATTTTTCATTAATTTAGATTATGCGACGTTAATAAAAGATTTTAATCATAATTCTTCATTAGAATTAAGTACTTATTCTCAATATGCTTATACAAATTATATGTTAAATTTTCATGGTGTTATTGATCATATATTTTTTGAAGGAAAAAAATTTCAATTTAAACGTTGTATACCAATGCCAACACATGAAGAAGTAACGGAATTTTCAGCTTTACCAAGTTGTAAAATTCCTAGTGATCATTTGGCTGTTGTGGTAGAACTTGAAATGATTAAATAATGTTGTTAATTATTTCTTTTGTTTGTCGAGATATAGCAAATAAAGTCATTTGTTTTGTTATTATATTGCATTTCTTTCAATGAATGATTTACAAAAAAATTCTTACCATAGGATGGCAAATACTATTCAATTGTGATAATAGACGGAAATTTATATTTAATAACAATGCTTAAATGTTTTAGCTTCTAGGGGTAAAAAAAAACTTTTGAAATTCTTTATACTTTGTATGCAGACAAAAGAAGCGCATGATAATTACTTCAATATTGTATTACAGCTAGACATGCACTCAGTGCACATGAAATGTTTTTGCCTGAATAAAGACAAAAGCTCTTATCTATGAAGCTACGCGACAATATAATTTTTCATTGATAAAAAAAAAGAAAAAAAAAATTAATGTCAGTTGTATTGTTAGATAACATGTTAGAATCGATCGAGAAAAAAAAATTTATTTAATTATTTACTAGTTTCTTATCAATCTCTTATTTAATCAACTAACTTATTAGATCATTCACCATTTGCTTGTCAAAAGTACTTATCTTACAGTATGAAAGTTTATTGATATAGCTCATAAGTGTTATTGTGTTTGAGTGCATGCATACATATCGTTATATAATGTAAATAGCATTCATATTAGTCGACAAATATGGTAATATACAAATTCATTTTTGAACAAAAAAAATGAAATTTATACTTGTTTAAATATTGCACTCTTATTGATAGTATCAGATAAATGCTAGGTTATACAGAGAAATTGTTATTATTCGTGAACAAAAATCCTCCAGTCTAATCAATTTTTATCTGATGAAAAAAACTTTTTTTTTATTAACAATATCTGATGTCATGTATGTCATTGAAGAGGAAGTTATAATAAAAAGAAGATTCTCATAGAATTCTATTTCTTAACGAGATACTATTCTATTGAAGAACTACCGGCCGACATGATCTGAATATTCATTAAGAGATCAGATTATTGTATGATAAATTTTCATACTCAAAACAAGTTGAAAATGAAATTTTTGTAATCAACTATATCTTCCGTTAGATAATTGCATACAGTAATAATTCATTTTTTATTATTTACATAGATTTTGATATATATTTCCATAAAAACAAGATTAATACTTCAAAAAGAATTTGCTTGATAAGATGATACTTTCATGCTCTGGATTTCAGCGTCCTCTACTCCATTTTGTAATTCACCATTCATAAAAAAGACAAACATAAAAAGAAAAAAAAAACAAAATTTTGAGATAGTTATACGGCTTGTGATTAAATAACTTCATATCTTTTATTATTATAACAAAAATGACCAAAGACGTAAATAGTTGCATATATTTTATCTTTTGTGATAAATTTTGTTTTTCGTGTATTAGGATCAACTACAAGCTACAGTTGCTTTTGCTGAAATTAACAAACGTGCTGACTCACAACCAGGTCTAATCAAAAAAATTAATGCCGTTATTGTATTTGACGTAACTAAAGATGGAAAAATTCAAAAAAGTTGGAGTAAGTTTTTGTTTTATTGTTTTATTAAATAAAATGAATTTTGTATTTAGCTATTGATGGTAAACAAGGAACACTCTATGAAGGCAAACCAAAAGAAGGAACAACAGCTCAAGTAACAATTACGGTTGATGATAATGATTTCGTAGATTTAGCTTCAGGCAAAGCTAATGCACCTTCAGTATGTATTTTATATTTTCATTTATTTTCTTTTTTTAATTATTACTTGCCATTTATTTTTATAGCTTTTTGCTAAAGGCAAACTTAAAGTAAAAGGCAATGTGATGTTAGCACAAAAATTATCAACATTATTCAAAGAACAATCAAAATTATAAACTGTGATTTTCTCTGCGTGTGTGTGTGTGTTTTTAACTATGCATGTTATAAAGAAATGCATTGTTTTTTTTTTCTTTGATTAAAACTATTCTATTCGATAATTGAACAGAGATGTCTATAATAATTACTTACTATGATTTTCTTATTTTAAAACGAATTACATCTGTCGCGATGTTAAAAAAGAAGAAAAAAAAAAGCTCATTGAATATCTCTTTACATCTGTCATTTATTCCCTTGAGTTCATGTATAGAGATATTACAACCATATACGATTACATTCAAAGGAGATGCTTGTATGTGAAATCAATCTCGTTTTTTTTATATCGAATGTGAAAAAATTAGGCTCATTGTTAATACAGAAGTGTGTATATATTTGCTCTCATACGCTAGTAAAACCATAAATTGAAGGATTTTAAGCTATATGATCGTTTTTTTTTCTTCTTATGTTCTAATCAATGTTCAATAGTCGTTTGTCGTTAGTATTACAATATCAATGATTAAAGGAATGAAAAAAGAAGAAGAAGGAGAGAAGAACGAAAGAGGATATTATTGAACTTAACCACACAAAGAACGTAAGAATATCGAAAAACGTATAACAATATATGAATAATAATATAAAAAAAATAATGAGACAGAATATAGTAAAAGAACAACATCTATTCAGTTTGATTTCATCACATATATCCAAGTAAAAAAATGAATAACGAAATAATTGCAGTAGCTTCAATTTTATTTTTTATTATATTACTTTTATTTGGTTTTATTATCGTACTAATTATTATTCTATGTCGTTCTCCAACATTATTTCATTTTTTTTGGCATGGCCATCAGCAACGAGAAAAAAATTCTTATATACGTGTTTCCACATCAACAACAAACGACAGGTACATTTATGAATTTGAAATATTTACAATAAGTATACTTCAAAATGAATCGCAAGAAAAAAAATGAGATTCGCTATTAAAACAAATATCACTTAGTCAAAGAAGATTGGAAACCCTATAATACATGCTTGAAAAGTGTTCATTGGACAACGAACAATATACATCATCTGTTTCTTATGAGTTTAACCAATCGCACTAACAAAAGTATAGAATACATAAAAAATTCTATATGCTCAACCAAGACTGACTGATATAATTATTATTTATTATTTTTTCTTTTTAGTTTTTAATAATCAGAATTGAAGTAGAGAATAAAAAAAGAATCGAACAAAGATGATTGTGAACAGAGAAATAACGATGAGAATGACGTCTTATGAACACTCTACTATGACTCTAGTTAGTCGCCGTCGGACGACTTACAGATCGGATCGTGTTGTCATCGTTTCTTTATTGTTCGTTAATAATTCTCTTCATTCTCTTCTTTTATTTTTTTCTTCTTCTTCTTCTTCTATATTCCATCACACTCACCCTATTTCTTTTCTTTAATAAGAGTGACGATTGTTATAGTAGAAGAAATAAGTTGCAATCCATAGTTAACAGAACAGAACAGTGATTAATCGTCAGACAAACATAAATATATATATATATATATATATAGCTATAGTTATAGTTTTATTTCGTTTTTGTTCTTACGCTTAAATATCCGAAGATGAGTACGAGTCGACAACATTGGTCTTGGCGAAGTTGTTTTGCGGCTGTAAAACATAATAAAAAATCAAAGAAACAAACTAATCATCAACCACTGTGAGTGAATTGTAATAATCTATATAGCTTAAAATATTCATACTATTGATTAAATTAATATATATATATATAATCAATTTGATATATTTATTATTATTATAGTTTACAAAAAATAACATCTAATGGAAATACACATGATAAACATTTACATACGGTTGATGAAAACTCTAATATTCTTATATCATCAACACAAAAACAAAATCATATCGATACAAAAAATGTATCCTACTTCTTATCAGAGATGACAACATCAAATGAATATGATCAGCATACAATACCAAACTCGTGTATTATTAAAATTGATTCAACATCCTATGATACTGAAAATCATTTCATTGATGGTGATAGTATAGAACAAATAACAATTGATGATTTTGATTCATCTATAATTAATCAAAATTCATTATCGTCAATAAGAGCAACACAATTAGATGCTATTGTAGAAGATTCAAATGAAGAAAATTCTGATGATTTGGATGAAACAATACAACCTTTGAAGTAAATTTTCAAAACAATAACACAAAAATTATTTTTATTTGTGTATATATATATAATAGATTATGTTGTGATCGTGATATAATTGATGATTCAAATGATCTTCGGTCTCGTTTATATGACTTAAGTAAAATGAATCATGTCATAACACAATTTAATGAAAATGGCAATTTACTCGGTGAATTCTCACGTCAAATAGATAAATTAAAGCTAAGAACTGATGACATCATACGAGCTAGTTCTCAAATGCCACGCGATGCTGAATTACTTGAAGCACGGTACGGACGAAAGAATAAAAATATCTTCTTTATTTGATTATTAAATTTTTGCACTGGATTCTTTATTTGTTTTGTTTTTTTCGTATAGATATTCAACATTATTAGCTACTATAGAAAGTCTTTCAATATTATTAAAAATTGCACAAATTCCAGCTTGTCGTTCTCTTCTTAATCGACTAGTATTTTCTATTGAACAACGAACAGAACAACTTAATAAACTTGTTCAACTTACATCACAACCATTATACAATCAGCAACAACGACGAGATCTATTTGATGATGATTTTCTATCGTTTCGGAGTGCTTTATCATCATACGAACATCTTTTTACAACATCTTCATAATAACTATGCGTACATGTATCTTTGTATTTATGTTTATTAGGGTTTTTTTTTATACAGAATGAATTAATTTAAAACACGAATTATCCCCTGTTAATTTCTTTTTCTTGTTAAATAGCATAACGCTAGACATTGCTTTTTTTTGGCTATCATATCATTCGATCCCCGAGACATATATAGATACATATAGAATGGGGTTATTCCCAATATGGATTCTGTTTCTTTTTGCTCTAAAAACAACTATATATTGGGACGATCGATAATATAAACCATTCGGATGGGTAATTATATGTAAGAATTAACTCGAACAACAGACAAGATATGTTTGAGATCGTGGTGCCCTTAATTGTTTTTATTAGTATTTTACCAAAAATAAACACACAAATTAGTTCTGTTTGCAACACATTGAACGACTTAAAAAATAATGTGACTGATGAAAGTTATTCATCATTTAAATTAAAACGATTACATATTCTATGTAATGCTATACATACACCTCGAACAGTAACATATAAGGAAGATTCAAATTTAATACCAGATTTTGATCTAACTCAAATTGATTCAGGTAAAATTAGATTAGTAAAGAAATTCATTTGAAATTATAATTTAGAATATGATGCGAATCAAATATTGAAACGATTTCGTCGAGGTCGAGGTGGTGGTGGTGGTGGTGGTAGAGGAGGAGGTGGTGGTGGCAGAAGCGGTGGTGGTAGATTTAGCGGTGGTAGCAGAAGTAGTAGTAGCAGAAGTGGTGGTTCGAGAATTTTTAGCGGTAAGCTATTTTATGAACGATCATTTTTTTTTATGAAAGGCGACATTTTAGGTGGTAGTCGATCATCTTCTTCTGGTGGGTCATCAAGAGTCTTTAGTTATAATTAATAGATACATTTTGTACAGGATATTCTGGAAGTAACCTGTCAATGATTTGTTTTCGTATATCTTTGCTATTTCATTTAACTTTGTAGGTACTTTTTTTTAAATCAGTGGTGAATGTATCGGGTTCTTATTTATTCGAACAGTCTTTCATACCAGTCTGCAAACTTAGCACTTTGAATCGAAGTATAGAACTTTTATTTTCTTTGTATTGATAGAAGAATCTTATGTATCCTTTTTTCTCGTTAAATCATCTCAATGTTCTATCATAGTTTTCTACTAACTTTACATTAACGACAAGCTTTGAAACTTATTCAGTATACGTGCACTTCATAGGAATAGAAGTTTACAGGTCCGTAGAGAAAGCCGTTCGAATAAATAAAAATTCGGTATATTCACCTTTAATTAAAAAAAAATTATCGATACAGTTGAAGGAAATAGCCAAGATATACGGAAAAACTTCTGATAGTTTATTTCTGGAACGACCTGTATATATCAGTTCGTTTTTAATTCAATTTATTTAGGTAGTAGCTCATCATCATCACGTGGTGGAATTTTTTCTCGTAAATATAAATAAAAAAAATACGATTATTTCTTGTCTCATATAATACAAAAAAATGATTATTATTAGGTAGTGGAACATCTGGCAGTAGCAGCTATCGAGTGCGTTCAGCCCTTAGATCAATGATACACAAACCATCATCATCATCAAGTTCAAGTTCGTTTTAATAAATGAAATTGCAAATAAACATAAACAATATTTATTTCATTGAAGGAATAGCATCCACTATACGTAGTTCATCAGCTACAAGTGGTAGTAAGCCCGGTATACGTGATACAATCCGTAAGTCAATATTATCGATCACTAATTTAAAAAAAATACATTGATCTTCATAGGAAAAATAACAGGTAGCACTGGTAGTGGTTTTAGATCTGGAGGAAGTCGTTTTGGTATAGGAGGTTCTGGTGGAGATGTTTGGGTAAATTAAATACTCGTTTCTTTAATAATTCTTGCATTATTATTTTCAAGGTACGTTCAAGTAAAAAGTTTTTACCACCTGCTGCTCGTTTTGGCAAACGATATTATCAACGAACTACATATATGCGAACTTTGCCTGTTGGTGCTGGTTATCATACAGGAAGTCGAGTACATTATTATCCAGTTTATTATGGACACGGTAAATAATATAGAAAAATTATTCATTGATAAATATCTAAAACTAAAATTTCAGGTCATTATTATGGTTATCCACCTGTTGAAAAAGAGCCTCCTAAACATATTAATGGAACACCACCGACTGTTTTTTATTGTATTCAAGAAGATCTTAATACGACATTAGTCAACAAAACATTGAATAAAGATGGCTTTGGTGTTTGTAATGTATCTGGCAATTTAGTTACTTGTCCAGTTGAAATTGAATGTAAAATGAGTGAAGCAGATATATGTTGTGAAGGTAAATTTTTATATTTTCTATTTTTTTTTATTAAATTATATAATCTAGATGAGCAAGGTATGCCTTATTGTTGTGGTGGACCAATTCCTGAAGAATATTTTTCACAATATGGTGGCTATGCAGATGATTGGAAAGCTTCAGCTGTAAATTTTAATACAATGTAAGAAATATTTTTTTTCTAAAAAGATAATTGCTTTTATTTTGTCTTGTCTTATTTAGATTACATTTTATTACAATGATGATGATAATGATGACTACTTTTTGTTTTACAATGTGGCAACGACGAGGACAATAGACTTTCTTGTGAATTAATTTTATTTAGTATATGTTTTCAAAACGCAACCTTTCAATATGTGGATAGACATGCATACTATATATATTTGTATGGAATAGAGAGAAAGAAAAAAAAAGAGAAGATGTGCCACACATAATTATTTTTCATTCTAATATTTAATTTGCTTTTCGTTTACCATGAACAAGAGCATATGGTAAACCATATAAGGATGACAAAAGTTCACTTTTTCGTTTTGTATGCATATATGCTTCACGATCATCTTCATTGCTACTGTCACCATTGATTTGATCATCACCAATTGGAACATATTGAAGGCGAGATGCTGATAAACCTTCTAATTTCTAAAAAAAAAATAGTATATAAAATAGTATTTCTATATAAATATATAATATATACTAACTTCACGAAGATTTCTACTTTCAACATTATTTGAACAAAATATTGCAATAGTAATTAATAAAAGCATAAATGTGCAAATTATTTTCAACATTTTGATTTAAATATTGAAGAAAAATATGGATTTAATCTAAAATAATTTAATTTGTAATAGATATATGTGTCGTTAATTAGTCTTTCAACCCTGAACGTTCGTCGAGAAATCAAATAGAAAATGTGAAAGAATAAAATGTGTATATTTACTCAACACTATATCTCATCTAGACAAATGGTTGATTTGACATGCAAACAAATATTTTTTTTTCTCGTTTATTGTCTATTCCCAAGAACAACTATACATTGTCCTTGTTCGTAGGTAATATTTAGTTCACCTACCCTTATTACTTCTTCAATTCTAACTAAACGTAGTATATGGTCGACGTGTGCTCATTGATTTTACTAAATAAGGTTTAATATATAGTATGAATATAATTGCGTATATCTCGTTCTTTCTTCTCCTATTATCTTAAATTTATTATTGTTCTCATCTAATTAAATTTAATGTGTCAAATTCTGTCTGTATTTCCAATAAGAAAAACTAACAAACAACCTCACTCGGAAACAATTTTAATACTACACTGGTTGTTAACTTTGTTTTATATATATATATATGTGTGTTGGAAAATAATGAGAAAGCAAAAAAAAAGAGGAGAAGAGAAGAAGAAAAAAAAATCATCCAGTGTTTTCAATATCCGGAATGGTTTCTCCTTAATATAAATTAACATTTTAGTCTCGTTTTTCGTTTCTGCATCATTAGAACATATGTTACAAAAATATGAGAATAATATAATAAAAATAATCTTAAAATCTTCAAAAGTATTGATAATTACTACTGTCAACTTACCATTTCAACCTAACATATTTATATATAGAAAATAATTTTGTTTAGAATTTCAATAAAATCTCTTCAGAATTAATATTAATATTAAACATAGATAAAAGAAAATAGTTATTAATGTTGCATATCTGATGAAAAGATGATGTAAAATGGAAACGATTCGTAACAAAATCAAAGCGACTAGATTTGCATTACAATATGATTCTTATCAAGGGATCTTTTCTTCTTCAAAAAAAATATCAACATGTCCATTTGCATTGATCGGTTTCAAATTTCCCTTATAATTAGTCATACAATTTCTATCTTACTAACAAAATATAGAAATCTTCAAAACGGAAGAATATAGACATATATTAAATTTCAAAGATATTCAAGGTTATTCAGAACAAATCTTTAATTTAGTAGATTTCACAATAGAATCATATATATCATATTTAATATTCATTTATTCACATGAATATTAGATGCACTTAGCTGTTTCATGTAAAAAAAAATTGCTACGATGTCTTTGCAGAGATATTTTATGTTTTTAATAAACCAATACCAAAATATTCATAATACATATCCGAAACTTTAATTTTTATAGATTATATATCAATTTAGTAACTAGTGGAAATTACTTAATTGATTCCTGTTTGTCTAGATTTTGGAAGTATATATGACATTTTATAGATTAAATCTATTTATATCTCTAGTCTGAAATTATAAAAACACGAAAAACTTTTTATATTCAATTACATTTAATCGCATGACAATAAAATAATTTTATATATGCTATATTAAATAATATGCTTAGTGGAACATAAAGTGAATGCATGATTACCTATGTCTAATATCAAAATATTATTTTAGAATGTGTAACTAACTTCAAATTCTGTATGAATATTTTTCTAACAAATATTGAAACAAATAGTAAAAGATCACTTAACTTATAGAAATAGTATTTAGATACTGCAATGGAATGATCAACATCTTCACTATAAGAATGGAATAGAAAGTGTCCATCGACAATACTATATATATAAACGAATTGTTTTCATAGCTAAAATGTAGGCATATTTATGATTAGATTCTTACCAAAAATATTTTTTCCGAAAAAGCAGAATATTCACATAAGATCATATGGAAATCATTTACTTGTTATTTTCGAGCCGTCAATACTTGTACTTCCATCGACTTGTGATAAAAATATGCATAGTTGTATCACTGAACTTAAATATTTTGAACACGACATAGGAAGTATATTAGATATATTTAGTAGATAATACTCATGTCTCAGAAATATTTAGTCATTGTATACAGATAACATGACGTTTAATCTGTATATTATAATACATGCGACTTGTCAAGTAATTATTGGAACAGAAAAAGAATCTTCATGATTTAAAAATAGATTCTTCAGTAGACTTTAACATTAATTCATTATAAAATATCTTGACGAGCTCAATCATGGATAAATTTCAAGATGTCTTTGATTATCAAAACTATTATTGATAAATATTACTTACAAGTAAAATTCACAAATCCAAACTTTGATCTATTCTCAAAAATAATTATGCATGATTTTCTTTAAACTGTATCTAAACCGCAAATAATCATTTGTCTCCGCATATTTTTATATAAAGAAATCGAGTCAAACTTAAGAAAAGTTCGATTATTAGTTTTCAAAAGCAATCAGCTAACCAAATTCGTCTATTATTGTCGAAATCCCAGGATGAGTGTTACTGAGGACACAGGAAATAAGTACATCCACTCCAAAATAAAAACCTCGATCAGTCATGATTATATGTTAGTGACGTATAACACCTGTTTACATTCATGACATTTAACAATGATATATTATTGTATGTTGTCATTTATTATGCATTTAGTTTGCAAACTTGACTAGCGAAAATATATGAAAACATTCGAATTCATTTGTAGTACATTTCACAAATCTTGATAGATTTTTCTTGAAATTCATATGCATGTAAATACCGTTCGTTTGGTTAAACAATTTCGAAACATACCACAGTTTTCTAATTAAATTAATAATTTGTAGCACGCATATCATTTTCAGATAAAATACATATCACACCTGACAAACATACAAAACAAAAGGTATTTATTATACTCGTCAGATACAATATTTCTAAAAATATTTTTTAGGAAATTGCTCATAGTCGACAAGCACTAACATCCATTTCTAATACGATTGATCGATAGAAAAATATTGTCTATGATATTAAACTCCTAACATATCAAAAATTCCCTTTCTCTTTTCAAGTAAGTTGTTATAGAAAAGACTATGAAAGTCGTTTTAAGAACTAGACGATTTTAAAGTTTTATTCGAGTTAAAACGTTAGTATGATATGTAGTTTCGCTTTTATTGAAATTTTAAACAGGCCCTTATCAATAACACAATTCATCATTGCTTTTTGTAAAACTATAATGAAAGTTAAATCATCCATTGTATTAAACCTTGCTAATTTAAACTTGACTCTAGAATTTTTGCAATAAATATTCTAACGTTATAAAGATTAATAATGAAATTTTATCAAGTAATACGGCCTTCTTCTTTTCTTAATTGTCACCATTTTGTTCATATTATTACATACATTCAAGTATAACAATACTATTTCAATAAATATGAACGATATTCCAATAAAATGATATATGTAATTATTTGCCATTGAAAAATTTGTCCTGTATTGTTCAAGTCTAATGAAAAACAATCGATTCTCAGAATTCGTGTTTTCTCTCTTGGCCAAGAGAATTTTAAATAGTACCATATTTATTGAGTTATTAGTATTGAAAACTATTCTTTCAGGGTTCAGTGGACGTCAATGTCATAGGAAAAAAAAACGAATGACAATAAATTCAATTGTCTTGAACATCAACGAAAATTTTACCACCATGAAATTTCATTATTCTATGTTCTCCATCAATAGATGACGCAAGTAACAAAACATATCTCTAATTTTGACTCTTAAACTCTATTCTTCCATTAACTAAGTTTGACTATTCCATTTTTTTTATGTGTCTATATGTATTAACTAATGTATCTTACATTTTTATTCTTTTCTTTTGACCGACTGTTATTGTCTATTTCCGTCGAGTCGAACGAATGTACGATACATAAAAAGTTTTTTTTTTTCCTTCATCGCTTATTCTATCAGCGTCACACGCAAGGCAGTCGACCCCTATCATAGAACGAAAGAAAAGAAGAAGAAAAAAAGAAAGAAGGAGAACAATAATAAACACACATACACGTCGACCAATTATACCCTTGCACATTCATTTCTAACGTTTATTTCATCATCGTTTGCCAATAGTGAAAATCTCGTTCTAGTTGGACCATTTACAACCAATGTAAGTAGCAACAAAGCTCGGGTTGGTTGTCCAATTCCCACCAGTTGATTTGTAGATAGAAATCAAATGAATTTCTCAATCATAATATTGAACAAAATGCACAAATTTCTTCTTTTTTTTAGTCCGTTTAATGATGGATTCAGGCTTACAAGTAAAGAATTAGTTTATCAAAATTCATTTCTTAATTTCAAATTTCGTAGGTTTCTCAACAAAGTTCTTCACCAACGACTGGTGGAAATGTTATTGTACTTAATAATAATGATATGATGCAACAACGAACAAGTATGGGTGGCCAACAAGTAAGTTTTAATGAAGAAAAAAACAAGTTTGAAATAATTTTAAAATCTTTCTTTTTTTCGTTAGATTATTCTTAAAACAAGTTCATCACCAACATCAAATTCAACACAAGGTCAAATTCTTCAAACAGCTGATGGACAATTAATTATATTACAAAGTGCTGAACAACAACAAAATCAATCGACACAATATGTACAAGTTGGTGGACAAAGTAAATAAAAAAATTCTTTATATTTATTTCGAAATTTTTATTTTCTTCTAGTTTTACAATTAAGTAATGTACAAACAGCTCAACAACCACAAACTATAACAATTCCAGCTGGTGCACTACAACTTGGTGGTAACGGACAACAAATTGTACAATTATCAACACCAACAAAAATGCAAACATCACAAAATGGTCAAGTTATAATGGTAAATATTGAATAGATTTTTTAGTTTATTTTATCTTCAATTTAATTCTAGATGGTACCGGGTAATTCAGGTCAATTACAAACTGTTCAAATGCAAACAGCTGGTACAGCAACATCAACACCTAACCAAAATGCTGTTGCACCTGAATCCACAGAAGAAGAACCATTATATGTTAATGCTAAACAATATAATCGTATACTAAAACGACGTGCCGCACGAGCAAAACTTGAAGCAGAAGGAAGAATTCCACGAGAACGTAAAGTATGTAAAAGAATGCATTCTGTAGTCTAAATAAGTTAACTATGGATAGAATATGCTTCAAGTAACGAGAGAGTCTCTAATAATCTATTATAACAAGATACAACCTACTATTCCAACTTAGAGTTTAGCCGAGCTTTGCTGTAGACCACAAAAAGTCAGCATAGTTAAACAAAAGGTTATCCTTATTTTATGGACGATGATACTGAGATATCGATTGCACTAGATCTTAGTAGACCTTGATAGATCTCATCCGATATACTCTATGAAACGGTCTACAATATTATTACTAAATATCATGTTTCCAGCATTGAAGTGAGCTGTGCATTATAAATTTATTTACTTTCTTTGTAGCGTAAATTTCTTCATGAATCTCGTCATCGACATGCAATGAATCGTGTTCGTGGTGCTGGTGGTCGTTTTGCTCCTGGATCGAAACAAAAAGCATAAAATCTAACTATATATATCGTGTGTTTGTGAATTGTTTTCTTTAATTTTTTTTTCTTGAACTTGCGTGCTTGTGTTGTGTATATTGTAAAGTTAAAACAGCAAAAGGATTTTTTTTGTAGACATCTAACTGACTGCATTAGAGGGAAAACAAACAGATTTATTGTTTCGTTTCATTTTTTTTCTTGTTGTTGTTGTTTGTGGATATTTTGCTGAAAGTAAGCAAGAATAAAAATAAATCAAGAGATAAATTTTGTTTGATTATTTGGCGGAAAATTTAAAGTATTTCATTGTTTTAGACAATATGCACGAGCGACAGTTAATATTTGAATCAGTCTTACCAAGTGAACTTGATCCAGCTAGATTCTCAAAACCAGTTATTGATGGTATTGAGCAACCGTTAACAGGTAAAGTCATTTTATTTAATCTATAGAAAAACATATTCTTTACTTTTAGTTACCTGTACAAATGGTGAAACTATTGTACATAATCCAAAAGAATTAAAAATTGCACCATCAATAAAAGATGATTTTGATGATGATGAATTATTAGCATGTGCTGAAAATCTTGAAAATGTTCCTCCGGAAATCTTAGAAAAACCAAAGAAAACTAAAGAACGACCTAATAATCCATTATTTAAATATCGTCGCGGGGTTTTATCAGTCTCGGATTTATCTGCTCAAATTTGGTGTGAACAACAATTATTATATAAATTTCTCTATCCATTTGTTCTTAATGATGATGGAGAAATAAAACGTGTTGATGATAAGCCACATATGTTACGCGGTACATCATTACATTTAGAACGTGAATTAGAAATTCAAATAAAAATTTCTATTGAATGTAAAACACGTGAAGATTCATATGGTGTACGTTTATTAAATATGATACAAGGTATTAATGGTATATTAACATGGGATAAACCAAATGAACGTTATATAACACGTGAAATGCCTGTAAGAAATTGAATTATGAAAAAAAAATGTCGAATTTTTTCTCTCTATTAGATTTTTGGGAATATGTATGGTGGTAAATTATATTTCCGTGGTATAATTGATGAAATCAATTATGATCCACGTACAAATCAATTAGAAGTTGTAGAATTTAAAACTCGTGCATCTAAAACAGCACCAAGACCTCAACAAACCTATACACATGAAGTTCAAGTTAATATCTATCGAACATTACTCGATGAACTTATTCAAGGGCGAGTAGATAAATCACTTTATTTCGAACGTTATAATCTTGAACCAACTACTCCATTATGTGATTCAGTACGAAATGAATATAATGAACGTGGTTTTTCCAATGTTGATACATTGGAAAATGCTTTTGATCTATTAACTAAATTAGCTTTTCAAATGCCAACAATTACAACTAGTAAGTTTCTATTGATCAAATTTTGAATAAATATTAGAGCTAGATGTTATCGATTGTAGTGGCTGTACATATGGGCATGAGAAGTTATCTTAGACCTTTAATGGGTGGACCAGAAAATGAGGTCATTGAGTCAGAAAATGTTTTTCCTTCGATTGACACGGCTACAATGCAGAACAAATTGAGTTGTTTATGAAATAAAAATTGTTTTTTTTTCCGTTTCAAATTATTGGCCAGAATTTCATTTTCGTATTTAAATTGATTAAAATTTGAAAATATTTTTAGATGGTGCTATTGAATATATTCTTCAAACTGATGCAACATGGAAGCATCGAAAAGAATTTCACCGTGATGAACATCATCTTGAACAACTACTTCTTAAATCTGAACCATTCTGGCTTGGTACACGTGAACCAGAAGGTGTTGATATTGAAGATGCTTATAAATGTAATTGGTGTGATTATTCAGATATATGTCAATGGCGTGAAGAAAAAGCAAATGAATTTGCACGAAAAAAACAACGTTTAAATTAAAATATTTCTATAGAATTATTTGTTATGTATATAATGTAAAGATTTATCTGTAACTGTGATCAATCTCATTTTTTCTCTCTCTCTCTCTTCATGTCAGTTTAAAACCTTATTTTTCTATGTTTTCTAGATGGCTAATCCAAAACGAACTGTTTATGTTGGTGGTCTAGCAGAAGAAGTTGATGAAAAAACTATACATGCTGCTTTTATTCCATTTGGTATGAAAATAAAATATTAGAATAATACAATTTTATTTCTATTTTTAATAATAGGTGATATTTTTGAAGTTCAATTTCCTATGGATTATGAAACACAAAAACATCGTGGTTTTGCATTTGTTGAATATGAAACAGCTGAAGATGCTGCAGCAGCTATAGATAATATGAACGATTCAGAATTATTTGGTCGTGCAATACGTGTTAATATAGCTAGACCAGTTCATCTTAAAGAAACAAGTTCAAAACCAGTTTGGTCAGAAGATAAATGGTTATCAGAAGCAATGAATTCAGTTGAAAAAGATAAGTTAGCAACAGATGATATCACTACTACTACTCCCACTCCTACTGATGCAAAACAACAAGAAAATGTATCTAAAGATACAGATTTAGATGAAATTGATTTTGATACAGGTCGACCATTATCAAAACGAATCAAATCAACAGCAAATCCACGTGTTTATTTTGATATTGAAATAAATAATAGTCGAGCTGGAAGATTAATTATGGTACTATATGCTGATATTGTACCATTAACAGCAGAAAATTTTCGTTGTTTATGTACGCATGAAAAAGGTTTTGGTTTTCGACATACATCATTTCATCGTATAATCAAAGAATTTATGGCCCAAGGTGGAGATATGACAAAAGGAAATGGTACAGGTGGAAAATCAATTTATGGACGAACATTTAAAGTAATAATACAAAAAAAATATTTTTATTTCGAAATAAAAATTAATATTTAGGATGAAAATTTTAATCTTAAACATACACATGCCGGTCAATTATCAATGGCTAATTCAGGTCCAAATAGTAATGGTTCACAATTTTTTGTAACTTTTGCTAAATGTGATTGGTTAGATAATAAACATGTATGTTTCTAAAAATTTATTTTCATTCTTAAATATTAAGAAGAATTTTTCTAGGTTGTATTCGGTGAAATTATTGAAGGTTTTGAAGTAATTAAAAAAATTGAAGATGCTGGAACAAAAAGTGGTACAACAACAAAAACAGTGACAATTGCTGATTGTAATGAATTTAAATAGTTTATCTGTTTATTTGTATATAGATATATATGTTATGTGTTCATTAAAGATTTATTTTCTTTTTTGATGAACTAGGAGAATAAATAAAACCAAAAAAACGTCTGTTATAAACAAGAGAGAAATAATAAACATAATAGTTTTTTCATTTCAAAATCAGTGTTAACTATATGTGCGTAATTTTATTCAGCGCATGGGCGCCGCCCACCCGAAAAACGAAACCTGGATAAAGCACTGATTGACTTGTGTAGAAAATCAAAATTATATTTTCTTTCTCTATGTCATTTGAGCGTGTCGAGGCCTGTCTAGATTTAATTTACTATTTTTTTTCTCTACTTGAAAAGCAAGAGAAATAAAAAAATGGTTGTCATGACTAGAAGCATGTTTATCAAAATATGTAAGATAAAGATAAGAAAAAAAATACATAAGTCATTGCTGACGATGAATACTTAAGAAAAAAAAACTAGGGATCAAATTGAGACTAAGCATAACATAAATTCACATTCTCTAAGACTTATTTGATTATAAATGAAATTTTTATTTAGAAATAAAAAAACTATTTTTGATCTATTGATATTGCATAGATTCTGTATCAAATTGACTTGAAGGTGCATCTTGTTGAGCATCACCTTCTAATATCATGCCTAATATATGTTCTTGTTTGTCAGTATCTAAATGTACAGTTAATACCCGTTGACTGATTGGTATTAATTGAATTATTGTATTTCGAATAATATTTCTTGTCCAAAAAGCAATAGCAGTACTAATAGCACCAGTTCCACATGCTTGCGTTTCATTATAAACACCATTTTCATATGTTCGTAATTGAATTGTACATTGATCTCTAATTGGATAAGCAATATTTAAATTTAAAGATGGATTATCAAGTTTATTTCGATAAAAATCTAAATTTTCATTAGCAAATTTTATTAGATCAAATTGATGAAATTCTTCAATTGAATCAACTAGTTTTCGAGCATCAATAATCACATGATGACTGCCAACATCTACATATGTCCAAGAATCAATTAATTGCAATTGTTTATATAAAGGTAAACGTAAAGCAACACGATCATTAGCAACAATTTGTGCTGTATACAAACGATTATTTAATGTTAATTTGATACCATGAATTATATCGAAATTATCAGTTAAAACAGCATGTCGAATAGCACATCGAGCTCCATTTCCACACATAGCTCCTGTTGATCCATCAGGATTATAAAAATCATAATTACAATTCGAATTCTCTTTATCTAATTCAAGTAATACAAGAACACCTTCGGCATCAGGTAAATTTTTTCGTTTACATAAACTAGTAATTAACAGAATATCCCATTGTTTATTAATTATCTTCTGTCGATTATCGACTATAACAAAACGATTTCCCGCACCGGACCAATGCTCAACTTCTAGTAACATGTGATTAACAACACTCTAAGGAAGTTAAAAAAAATATGATTGGTGTTACGAATTAGAAACACCAATGATGTTTCTCTACGTTATCTTATCTATTTATGGTGTAATAAGATATTAAAAAGGACCGTGTTGAATAGCAACAACATCATGACATGATGTTTATTTTTATATGAATTAACGGTTTAGCGCAAACTCTATTAACCAGAAGAAAACATGTCTTCGCAAGGCTTTTATGATCTGATGTTTTTATTTGATGAAGATCATACTAGAATCGACTTAAATAACTATAATATTAATGAAAATAAAAATGTTGAAATAACACAACAATCACCTCATTATAGTATTTGATCTTCTCCATAAAGAAGGATCTATGATCAGACAATAAATCAAAGCAAGAATTTTTGTTAGGTTTAAAATAAAAAGAAGATATATATATGTATATTTTTTTGTTCAGAACTGTACTACTTTTTTCTTCTTATTTTCTTTTTTATTTCTTATTTCGATGTTACACGTACAATACGAGGCTTCATACACACATTTGCTGCAACTAAAGTTGGATATAATCGTTAGAAAAAAAAAGAAAGAAAAAAAAATAGAAACAATTGTACTAGAGCAATTAAATATAGGATTCTACGGTTTTATAATGCTCAAAAAAATATAATAAGGATGTGAACGGACAAAAAATTTGGAATAGTTATTGTTCTAATAGTATTCGTATTAACCACCGCTTGTATCGACTTTGACACCGGCATAGACTTGTACGAGTTTGTCGAAACCAGACAAAACACCAGCACCGGCAATACCTCTGAGAATATTGGCACCGGCTCCTTTGAATAATGAAGCCATACCTTCACTACGGATAATTTGGAACATACAATCCATTGATCCTTTATATTTAACAGCTTGACCTGATGTCATCATCATACGTCGTCGAATTGTATCAACTGGGTATGAAATAAGACCGGATGTAACTGTTACACCATAACCGAGTAAAAATGAAAGCATGATACCGGCATCGGGTCCAAGTAAAATTGGTTTCAAGGTATCATAAAAACCGAAGTAACAACCACGATAGATGACAATACCAACACATGAAATAACGAAACCACGATAAAGACCAGCAATACCATCGGTAGCCAAGGTTTTCTTGTAGACATCGACGAGACCCTTGTATTGACGTTCACCACCACCTTTCTTTGTACTTTTAACATCATTAGCTAAACGTGTACGAGCATAATCAAGTGAGTAAACAAAACATAATGACATTGCACCGGCTACACCACCACTTGCAATATTTTTACCGAAGTTAACCATGTATGGATCATTTTTGTTTTGTTTAAACATTAATTTAATTTGATCTTTGAAAGCAAAATTCAAAGCCTGAAGTAAAAAAATATTTTTTTGATATAAAATTTCTATGCAATTAAATAAATAAACAAACCTGGGTGGGAAAGTATCGAATACAGTTAGCTAAATTACCCCGCCAAAATGCCATTCCACCTTCACTTTGGAAAGTTCGCATAGTACAATCGACGACACCGTTGTATGGTTTGGTAATTAAACCTTGTTTAAGCATTTCACCTTGATTTTGTACGAGTAATTTTACACGTTCAATGGGAGCAGCAGCTGTTTTTGATACAACAGCAGCAACACCACTGAGCGCGAAATTCTCGATGAAGCTTAATTTTGGTTTGTCTTTCTAAATAGATAAAAAAACATAAATATTATATATTAAGATATCCCACTCCTCAAAAATCAATTTCAGATTTAAAATTATTCAAATGGCCTAAAATTTTCAACCCTATACTATGACATCTGACGAAGATATTCACTAAACAACGGTTAAAAATAACTCATTTGGCAAAACAAATTTCTCTCCTCGGGCTCGTACTATATATTTAACTTTTAGTATTTAAGTGCAAAAAAAAAGGTGTCACAAGATAAAGATCTTATAAAACCGCAAAAAAAAACTAGTGTACATTGATGTTAGCCTGTATATATATATTAAACGAGTCTAGATAGAAAAATTTTGGATGGCCGGTTGAAAGAGTGTAGATTATCAAATCAGATGGTAAAACTTATTAAAATCTTTATCGCAAAATACGATACCGATTTTGAAACTATACTATTTTTCTATGTATTAACCACAATTTCAAAGTTTTTGATAGAAATTGACTTTTGTTTTAGAGGTTGATGGATCTTCAAAGATACTTACTGACATTGCGCTTTATATTAAATACGACGAACTAAAAGTAAAAAAAGATTCCAAGTTAAAAGTTTCTTCCTAAAAAACAAAAAATTTCTTCTTTTACTTTCTGTTCTTGTTATTGTTCTTGATGGTTCCCAAGTCGTAAAGCGCAGAAAAGTGCCGAGTTAGACGAAAGCACTCGATTTCACCACGCAAAAGATGGCTACTTAAAATCGACCTCCTCAAAAACGCGTCGTCTTCGACACTCACATATTTGTTGTGATTCTTTTCAAGTTATTTATGTACCTCCTAACAAAACAATTATAGTGATATCTATCGGAAAACTTTTATTGATTTACCAAAACAGCCAATGAAAAAATGAAGCTTGTAAAAAGAATTTCTAATTATTTTTTTTTCTATTAGATGAATATAATTGAAAATGAGTCACACAAGACAATAGAATTGAGTTTGACTGCATTCCATATAACAAACATGTTAAAATACGTTTTGGTTCGAGTTATAATATCATACTAGACCTGATTTTCGTATAAATGATTAGAAATTCAATTTTAAATAGTAATTAATATCAATAGTTTTGTATTTCTACATGGAATTATATATCTAAAACAATGAATAACAACTCGTTTTATACCTGTCAAAAATAGTATAACTTTTCTAAATTAATATTTTATTACATGATTTTGAATTATCTTTATATTCAACCTAACTAGAAATACATTCACCAGAATTATCAAAACCTTAATCTATGCATTAAACGTTAAGACATCATACATTTGAAAACCTATTGATTTTTTTCTCGATGAAAAATTTGTTCAGAATTTTTATGAAGCGTATAACTGATTAATCATAAGTCAAGATATACCCTTAAATCTAAATTCATAGATTGAAACAGATGAGTATCATTGTTTTTTTGTTAATTTATATTTTCGAAATATAACAGATGTCGATTATTCGCCTACTAAATATCATTGTACAAACTGGTGCACTCATAATAATAAATAAACTATAAGAACAATTTTTCTGTTAGTGTCATTAGAGCAAGTCTCAATAAATTAAAAAATCGAATAATTGTACAGGTATTTCGAGTATCTATATATACAGTTCTTAATGATTCTACAGTGATCTATGAAATTCTAACTAACAATCAAGGACAAAAAAATAACTCGTGAAGAAAAAAGTCCTCTAATGACTATTTATATTAAATGGGAAAAATATCAATTAATCGCTCATTCATACCAATAAATCAGTCAAACATAGACACATCGTTATTTCTTTAACTATCTAATAATTAACATACTTGACATATGTTATACATAAGCTATACATTACATGTAAAAATTTGATATACAAATATATTCATACACCTGTATATTTTTGTATGTTCTATTTCCAATCAATACCATTGACGTAAATATATATATATATGCATACCATATCTGCTAATTCTACTATTCGACTTATCGATGGTAATCGAATACCTATTGTTGGCCTTGGACTGTATGAAGCAGAACCTAGTGTCCGGACAGTTCGTCTTGTTAGATCAGCAGCCATTATGGGTTATCGTCTGTTTGATACAGCTGAAATATATGAAAATGAACTTGAAACTGGATTAGGTTTGAAAAAATCACGGATTCCACGTGAACAATTATTTGTTACCAGTAAAGTTTTTACAACAGACGGTGGACGTCGACATATATTAGATTCAGTACGAGAAAGTCTTTTTCGTCTTAAGGTTGAGTATATTGATCTTTATTTAATACATGCTCCACAGGGTGGTAATGTTCTTGAAGCTTATGATGCATTACATGAACTTCGAAGTTTAGGTCGAATACGTTCAGTTGGAGTTAGTAATTTTGGTATTTCACATTTAGAAGTTATACGACGTACTGGTCGTCCATTACCATCTGTTAATCAAATTGAATTACATCCATTTAATCAACAACGAGCAATTGTTAATTATTGTCGACGATATGGTATTGCATTAATGGCTTATTCGCCATTAGCACGTGGAGCAGCATTAGATGATCCATTTGTACTTCAACTTGCAAAAAAATATCGACGAACACCAGCACAAATTTTAATACGATGGTCCATACAAAATGGTTTTATTTCCATACCAAAGACAAGTCATTCAAGTCGTTTACAAGAAAATTTTAGAGTATTTGATTTTCGTTTAAGTAAAAATGATATGCGACAATTAACTGATTATGGTTATCAAAATCAAGCTTCATCTGGATGGGATCCATCAAATCAAAGTACACTTCAATTTGGTGCTATTTATTAGACATATAGATTTTCATTTCTATTTTATTTTTTCTTATGTAATAAAAATAGAACATTTATTTATTATTACTATATTCTTCTTTAGGCATGGCAACTAAATCGAGTACAGGTGATGCATCTTGTCCTCGATATTTTGTTATTGCTGCAGATATTTGTCCACGATGATGAGTATTATGATTAAATATATGATCCAATGTTTCTACACGACTACGTTCATGTTTTTTGCCTTTTGTATCCAAATATGTAAATGTTTCTTCATTCATTAATGTTTCTAGATCAAGTTGTTTTACATAATCAATCCAACGATCACATTCAATAAAAATTTGTTTATAGAGATCTTTACGATCAGTAACTGCTTGTTCCCATTCTTGTGGTGTACGAGACCAATAAGAATTAAGTTCATGTGGATATCGTTCATCTTGAAGTGGAAATGCTGATGGACTAGTATGACGAGCATACCAAACTTTACTTGATAAAAGTAAATGAACTAAAGTACCATGAATTGATCGAAAGAAAAGACCACTATCAGCATGATAATCTTCATTCGATATATATTCATCTAATTTATTATAAACTTGTCGAAATGCCCATCGATTATAGATAGCCATTCGAAGAAAATGTTGCTTATAAGCATTCATATTTTTATCGATTGTGTGTCGTTCTGACTATACTGTACGCCATGATTTGAGTAAACATTATATATTACCTTCGTATGAAATAACCCATTCGTATACTCACAGTCATAGAGGTCATCGATATACGAGTATTATAAGTTTATAAATCATTATATAAAATCTGAAGAAGCGAAAGTAACCGCATACTCAGTAGTCACTTGTGCATTAATTGTAGAGTTAAATGAGACAATACATCAAGGTTTATTGATGAAAACTCAATTATATTTCAAGTATAATATTATACTTTTGATACACATCATTGATTAGTTACTCATGTAAATATCCGTTAATTTGAATACGTTTTAATTGATAGAACTAATATTATATAATCAAACAAAAATTTTCTCGATTTAGCCATGTTTACAATATCGGTTAAACTACAGTCTTACAAATTAATAACGAACTTTTAAATTATTTCAACCTTAAGAATGTTGGTATGCCAGATACCTGTATGACACGTGGCAAAGATAAAGATACTACACAACATTTCAATGACTCATGAATAAACTATAAATAGAATCGTGCTATATGGGATACAAATCTTGAATTTAAAACTATGTTTATTGAGAAAATCGATTATCAGTATTTTAATCATGTACTTCTCTACGAAATATTGATATTTACTTTCAATCGTTATCACAATCTGTGTAAAATTTTGATGGCAGATGCTAATTCTCTCATGGGAACATCGATTGTCACTTATGAATGATACGAGTACATGTTTTCATTTTACATGACAAAGATATTCGTATAAATAGATTTTTCTTGAATTTTTAAATTCAATTACACTCTTGAAGTTTAATGAAAAAGAAAAAAGAAATACAAGCTGAATAAAGAAAAAAATGAATACATTCACCAAACTGACAATTTATAAAAAAACGAACCGACTATATATTTTATAAATACATAGTTACTTTCACCGGCAATACTACGTACATATTTGGAATAAAATATAATATAAAAAAATATAGATAGACTTTATCCACACTGTACAAACATACATACATTAACAAGATAACATCCACCTTCTTATCGTAGTTGGGATACTTCAGTTGCTGAAATATTAAGAACAATTAAACAAAATCTCATCCGGGGAACATCAATTGCAACAAACACATCACATCACATTTTGTCAAAAAAACAAATCGGATGAGATTCACACGCACCGCTCGACATCGCAGATAGATCACCAAAATAAAAACGCAACGGGGGTTTAGAACCCTTGATTGTTTGTTTACAAAAAAAGAAGAAGAAGAAGAAGAACTCATGAATATACAAGAAATCAATATTTTGCTTTTTACAGAAAGAATATATATATATATGGGTATCAGCATCAACCATTATGGAACATAAAGAGAAGTGAGAAAATAAGTTTTCAACAATATTGCTAACGAGCATATGTTGATATACTTATATTCTCATTTTGAAAGAACCCGAACAAACAATTAAATGCGATCTGACTTTAAACTCTACTCATAGATAGATAGATACATACATACACGTTAACACGTGCCTTACAAATACAATAAAAATAATTATGTACATAGAAATATTTTACAGACTAGGTTGATGTCATCCACTTACACTATATACAAAATGAAAAATAAAATAAAAATTATTTTTGCACTCGGCATCAGTAATAAACCAGCTACTATTCAAAAAAAAACGTTCGATATTCGCAGTTAATTGTTTTGTAGTTCGGGATGAGAAGAAAAGGAATGTAGAAAGAAGAAAAATAAGGTGGGAAATTTCACCTCAGTATAATACCCATATATACACGAACCCGTTTTTTTTTAAATTATTGCTTGAAGCTATAGGTTCATATAAAATATATACAAATGATTTTTATCGACATAAAACATGTGTACTTGTTGAAGTATTTGATGTTGAAGTATTAGTTGATGTTGTTTGTTGATCACGTCGTTGTTGTTGTTGATAATGAATTCCAAAATAATTTGGTCCAGTTAAACTGAAAATAAGATTTGATGATGGTGATGAATTCGAAATTGTTGATTGATTAGGACGTCGTATTAAACGTGAAGTAGAATCATTTGATGTTGGAGAAAAACCAATTAAATGAGAAAATTGTGATGCAAGAATCGATGGTGGTGAAAGAGAATTATATATATTAGGTATTCCATGTTGTAGTGATGGATAAGAATAACTCGATGATTCATCTGTTTCGTTATTAATACAAAATGTTTCTTAATTTAAGGAAAAAGAAAATTTAATTACCTTGTTCATCATTTCGTTTCTTTTCAGCTGCAGCCGCAAGAAGAAGTAAACCCGACGATCCTTTTTTGTTTAAATTTAATATTAATATAACAAAAATTCTTAAATAATAATTACCTTGATTTACAGTTGGTTTGGAATCAATATTCATCGAAGTACTTGTTGTTTGTGATTCATTATCGGAATCTCCATCAATATTCGATTCATCTGCTTGAGTATCATTCACATCTGACTTTAGTTCTTTCAAAAGAAATACAATCATAATGACTCATAATTAAATCGAAGGAAGAAAGAAAAAAACTTACTCAATTCACGTTTTTTTCTTGGACCGTCAACTGTTATTTTAATGGCTCGTCGATAAGTACATTGTTGTGGTGGTGTTGTTTCAATAATTATACTTAATGTAAATTTTTTACCTAAAAATAATATTTTTGTTTTTCATTATAAAAAAAATTCTAAATTTATTCAAACCTCGTCCACTAGCAGCTAAAAATCGTAAATCATTAAATTCAGCTTGACCATTACGAAAGCAACTAACATTATTTTTTAATGTTGCACATGGATTAAATTCATTACCAGCAAGAATAAAAACACGTGTATTAGATTTTATTGCAAGACGATTTTTTGTTCGTAGAATAAAATGAAGAGATTTATTTTTTCGCCAATGACTAAGAAAAAAACAAGAAAAACTAAATTTAAAAAAATTATCATTCGAATTACTTTGGTAAAGATGAACATTCAAAATGTGGGTTTAATTCTACAAAAGTATTTTTTGCACGAGCTAATACGATTTCAGCTGGTGATGACATAGTTGAATTTCGTTTAATTACATTAGGTTTATTACCTGTGGTTTTTGGTATTTCAATATATAATTTTCGATCAACAGGAGTCCTTGGATACGTTGTAGTTGATTCTGTTGAATGAGCTGTACTCGTTGAGGATTTATCACTTTCAGTCGATACACGTCGTCCGTCATAAGCCATGTATATATATATATATATATATTCGTATTTACAATATTTGAACAAAAATATTTTGTCGTTGATTATTTACAGAAGAAAAAGAATACAAAATAATTATTTGATATATCGGATCAATTCCGACCTAAAAAGAAAAAAAATATTTTATTATAATTAGTAACAAAAAATTTTCTATAGAAATTAATTGAATTTTTCTATATTATTTACTAAAAAAAAGGTGTATAACATGCTATTCACTTTCGGTAAATAAAAACGAAAAATTTACTGTGTGTTGCATAATTAATGTAGGAGAGATAGGAAGAAAAAGGAAGTCAAAACACATGATATATAAGAATACATGTTCTGTTCTGTCAAACATGTTAACGAAAAAAAGTAAAGTATGAAATGAATATAACAAATGTACTCTAACACTCTTATCTATTTATGTATGTGTCAGATATTTCAGTCCCGTGGTCGAGTTAGAAGAACAGTAACTATCATCTTCGTAGTACCCGGTGATGATGAATGAAATAGTTGGCTTCTCGCCTCATGTGATGCAATGATTTTCTCTCTCTCTCATGTTTTTCTTCCTTACCCCTTGTATTTTTCTTTTTTTTTTCCATTGACACAGTGTCACGTTCTTCTCAACCCGCCTCCATTCTTCTCGTGTTTTTTCTTTACTACGTCGCTAAAAAAAAGATGCTTTATATTTCGTCTTTGTGGTCATTAAGCTAATATCGTTGCTGCGATCATGTATCTCTGTTATTTCTCACGATATTAAAACCATGACAAGATACCGGTTAAATTTTTATTCTATTACGCTGATAAAAAAAGAAGAAACTCGATTGTTATCTTGATAATACTCTCCGAGAAAAAGAAAAGAAAATTTTCAATCCGTCATTTGTTTATAATATCAACATATTACTAGCTTTTTTTTCCTGTGGTAATAATGAATGTATATGGGTTTTTTTTTCTTCACCAATATACATCAAATAATAAATAAATATGACGTCATGGAATTGTTTATCACGTAGGTGTGTATGTTTATAGCAACGGACAGGAATATGAAAAAAAACACATACTATGATTCAAGATGAAATGATTAGACAAACTATGTTTAAAATGTGAAATATATTTTTTGTAAACCATGCTTTGCATTTATTATCAATACAGTTTGATGTTAATAATAACCGATAAATGAACATAAGGAATGTATACTCCTCTATATTTCTAACAAGAAGAAAAGTATAAAAAAATGACGAGAATGTGTAAAGGTGTAAGAAATAATTATACTATCAGTATTGTCATTCTATCACGAGTGGTGTCGGGTGTTTCTTTTTTTTTCGTATTCTCCTTTGCTTTTTCGGTGTACGTACGCTTGACATCATAATACATGTGAATTAACGATATAAGAAAATCATGGCAAAAACAAAAAGCAATATCTACACATGACAAAAAGAAGGCAAACATAAAAGAACCTGACTATATATTGACAGGATTCATTTGACACTAAGTACTCATATAAATATCAATAGAATTAATGTTTTCTAAAACTTTAATTAAAGAATGATTCAATGATCAGTTTTGCAAATATTTAGTATCTAACTATGATAATAATGTATAATCACGGTAATACAAAAAAAACAAGACAATAGAGTATATTTATTTATTATAAACTGCATTAGTATATAAAATTACTTAATAATAATAAAGTAAGTATCGATCGAAAATTATTCCTTGTCGAACTTTAATTACATATATTTATGAAGGGTCTATTAAAATGCTGAATCAAGCTCTAAATATATATATATATATATAATTTATTGATTTTCATTATCGCTATATAACAAAAGTACTCATATATAAAAGTCATATGAGATAGAATAAATAATAACTACATATCTTATAGAGAATTACGAAATAAACCATTAAATCAATTTTAACTTCATATATGAAAATTGGAATTTGACCTTTATTTTTTTTTTACGTACAGGTATGATTCATAAGTGGAGTGAATTTCGGCAGAACGATTGTTTTTGCGTTTATTATAAAACATATACTCTGTTGCTAGTAGAGACATACATTTACAATAAAAATAATAATATTATTATTATTATTGAGAAGTCAACAAGGGCAAATATATATCATTAGCACATCAATATTCTCTATATACACAATTTAACGGTGGAACTATTCATAAAGAACGCTTAATAAAAATCCATAAATAACATATGATTGCCTATAATTTACCTACGCTCTTTATTTGTATGAATTATGTTCTATAATTTGATGGAAAGGTTTTTTCAAAGCATTTAGTTATTGTATTCTTATTATCGACCTAGAATGGCTGTTAATAAAAAAAAAAGAGCAAAATATATGCACGAGTTACTCATGTTATACAAAAACACTTTTCTTCTTCGCAGTGACGGATCTAGGATTTTGGAAGAAGCGGGGGGGGGGGGGGCGATATCTGGGGAGGGAAAGGGCGATTTTGGCTAAAAGCTATTTTTTGAGTTCAACCGAAGTAGTGTGGACCTATTTTTTCGTTCATTTTTTCTGTAAAAAATCAAAAAGAAAATTCGGAAGCGGGGGGGGGGGGGGGTGATCGGCCTCTCCCCCTAAATCCGCCACTGCTTCTTCGTAGATATTCGATATTAAAACACAGACACAAAAACTTTAAAAATCATTTGATTAAATTTAGTATTCTATAACATTATATTTAAAAGTAAAACTAAAAATATATTTTCATTAATTTAACAAAACATCTACAAACGCGTATATATATATATATATTCAACGGACAAAATAGAAATCCTGAATTTTTCTATCACTATAAGAAGAAGAAGAAAATAATAATAATAATAAGCGGAAAGATCTATGGTACTATAGTCAATTTGTTTTTCATATCTTGTACATCAATAATTTGTTCTTGTTCTAAATGAATATTATCTAAATAGATTAATATATGTTCAATAGTTTGTTCTTCATGACAATCACCATTAATTAATGGTATAAATATTTCATAATAAATTTTATTTGAATATAATTTATGTGTTACAAGTCGTATTTGTTCATCATTAAGCCATAAATCATCTTCATGAGTAAGGACTGATATTGTGTCTGATTCATTATCATTATCATTATCTTCATTAAGACGATTTAATTCAATAAAATATCGAATTGTTTCAATTGAATACAATTCAAATGAAGAATTTGCTAATAAATCATATAAAAGGCGTTTGATTTTTGTCTGAGAAAATCCATGTACTGATATCATATATAAATCAAGTAAACGTCGTAATGTATTATATGTTCGTTCATGTACAATTATAGATTTTATTAAAAATATTACAATTTGTTTATCAATATGATCTAATGGATAATCAATTTGATAATTATATTTTTTAAATATATATGTTAAACGACGTATTGTTAAACGTATATGATAACATTGTTCAGATGTTATAGAAAGAAATTGATCTTCATATTCAAAATCATCAATTGTAAGACCCAATAGTACAATAGCTAAATTTTGAATAATTGTATATAGAGATATACGTGATGTTATTTTCGATGGATTTGATAATGATGCAATGATAAATGGACCTTTATAAACATGTGACGTATTAAAGAAATTTTCATATAATGGATAAGTAGTAGGATTAGCATAATTGAGAGTACTGATAGCATGATCAATCTAGATAAATAAAAGAATGCAAATATTTAATGTTCGATTTTCAGATTATAAAAACGGCAAGTTCGACCGGATTAGAATTTTTATCATAGATAGATCATCTGAACTGACGAGATATAGGGTCGAGAAAAATGTGTTCATGGCTTTCGATACGTTCTGATCTTGCCACAGTACGAGCCCATCAGATTGGGATTTGCGAATTTCGCCAGTGGCATTATGTGACTACATATGTGTAAAAACTAGGGGTAGAACAGTTCCAAGTTCAGATGAACTGGTCGAACGAACTTCCAATACATTTCTTTTGAAAGCAGCTGAACTGTCTCAATAGTTCAGTTCTTGTCAAAAGAACTATTATACAGTTCCTAAGAACGGAACTTATATGGAGCTGTCCTACCCTTAGCAGAAATAGCTCGTAGTAACTATATTGAAGAGTTTAAACTATGGTATGCTTATTCTAATCCTATTAAGATAAGTTTTCACATGTATTCTATGATAATCTTATGTTATTACAGTCGGCGAGTGCCCATTGTAATTTCACGAGCACATCCCCTATACTTTCGTCAATGCCCTATTGGCGAAGAGACAGTAACCCATCAAACTTTGTCTGATTTGGCTGGAAAAGTTTTTTTTGAGGATACCCACGGCTATATTCTTTTAATAAAAATATTGCCTAAAGGTTTTCTTCAGAACCCTATAAATCCAGATGGTAACATAAAAAATGAAAAAAAGCTCAAGTCTACCCTTCCAATATCCTTCAAAGTATCGATGGTAAAAATCTCAGCTCGATCAAGGGACGTCTTTTGTGACACTTTGAGTGAAGACTAGTTTCACTAAGGTATTATCTTACTGTTGAAATTAATGATTGTTTAGTAATAGCATGTCCATATGTCATCGAATGATATGTACGTAATAATTCAGCAACTCGATCAATAATTTTACCGGAAAAATCATTCATATCATTTAATAGTAAATAGAAAAGATTATTTATTTGAAATATTGCTACTGTTGATGATGAAAATGATAAAACAAATTGTACAATTGTATTAAGTTTACCAGTATTTAAAATAATTTTATTTGTTGAACGTTGATATTTTTCTAATTCTTTACTTATACTTATTATTGAATGAATATTAAATGTTGAAAAATGTGTTAATTCAACATTATTTAAAATTAAATAAAATAATCGTTCTACAAAAACACGTTCATATTGTTGGTGATATTGACTAAAAGAAAATTATCAATCAATAGATTTTTTGAAACTTTTTAATTCAATTATACCTAAAACTACGAATATTAACCGGTTGTGTACGAATAAATAATTGAAATAATTGAATTTTTGATTGTAATAACATCTGAGCATTCTCCTCATCGTCTGAGTTATCATTAGAATTCGATGAATAATATTTTGTATTCATTAGAAAATTTCTATAAGCATTTTGTAATTGTTTTCTTTCTTGTGGACGAAAAAAATCATTATCAATTTGATAAGATTCAGGCAATTCCCATACGGTTGTTGTTGTTGTTGCTGTCGTTGACATTAGATCTATCTGAAAATTGAATGAAAACGAATTTGTTAATCTATCATGAGCATAAAAAAAAGGACACATGTTAATTCACTATTGAGTTTGCAAAAGAAAAGACAAAAAAAAATCTACATAAATAAAAAAAAGAAATGCCAATGGACGGCCATAAAAAGAGAAAAAACAGATCTACATTATCGCACCGAAATGTAATACCATAACATGCAATTGATTACAATTAATAATGTGTTTATATAATATTCAATTTTCGAAGTTCAAGTTTAACACTTGATATTTGTTGTTCAACACGTTCAATTTCTCGTTCAAGAACATCGAGTAATTGTCGGTCATTATTTGTTAAACCTCGTGCTGGTATACGATTAATACGAGATTCTAAGTCACGTTTTTTTGTCAATAATTCATCAAATTTTTCTTCTAAATGTTCACTTTGTTTTATTTGATTATCAATTAAATCCTAAAAGTAATATAAAACATAAAATTACTATAATTATCAGTCAAATAAAAATATTTACTCTCACTGGTATCTGATTCATAGAACGACGAGTTGGTGGTGATTTTTTCGGAGAATACAAAGGTCCTAAAATTGATTCATTTAGCAAAAAACAAAACGAGAAAATTCGTAATTTTATTATACTTGATGGTGGCACATATGCTGGAGGAAATTTTGGTTTATCATTGAGATAATCATTAATTGTGAGTAGAGGTCGAGGTGAATTCGTACGTCGAAATAGATCTTCCGAATCTATATAATCAAAGTTTAACATTCATTTTAAATGATAAGAATCTATACAAATTATCTTTCTGTTCTTACCGTTTGATCCATATCTTGCTGAATCTAGATTACTAGATCTTGGTGAAGTAACTGTCGATGATGAATATCTCGATGTTGTCGTTGTAAAACGTCCATATTCTCTCGAAGTTGGCATATGTACAGGCATAGTTATATTGTATTTAAGATTATCATTGTTTCTAATTCATAAATAAAAAAATAAATATTCATAAAAAATTCAAGATAAGTTTTCCTACCGTTGATTATTAGTATCATTTGTAAAATTTGCTTGACGATATGCTTTAGTTTCATTGTCTAAATCACGATAACGTTCTTCAAGTCGAACAAGACGTTCCTTAAATATAAATATAATATGAATATACATATCTAAACGTTATCAGATATATATACTCTTGTAAGATTGAGATCGCTTGCAATTTGTTCATTATCTTGTCGATATTGTAATGTTTGTTTATCAGTATGACGAAGTTTTTCATCTTGTCGTTCTTTTATCTAAGAGAGAAAATTTAATTTATAATTAAATCTTTTTTAAAATATTTACACTCCGCAGATCATTTAATTGTTGTTGAAGATCATTTATAACTCGTTGATGATTTTTAAATTCGAAATCTTTACTCTTCAATTGATCACGTAATTCTTCTATTTGTCGTTTAAACATATCATTTTCATCTGTAGATAATTTCTAGAAAAATATTCTAATGTTATATATAATATTGAAATTTATTTATTGTGTAATATACTAATGAACGACGTAATTCTTTCATTTCATCATGTAAACGCATATTGTCATTATTAAGTCGTTCTATTGTTTCTAATGATTGACGTGTACTACTAGCTGTATGACTAAAATAATTCATTTAATTTTTTTATATTGAAATAAATATTCTACATACCCCATTTTTGTTGTATTTAATTGATTTTTAAGTTCTTCTATTTCATGTTCATAATATAATTTTAAATCGGAAATATGCTTTGCATGTTTAACCGAAAGTTCTGTTCTAAGACTAGAAATAAAACAAAATTATATTGAAATTTAACCTACAGAAAAGAAAAGAAATAGAAAAATCTCGTATTTTCACTGATCAAATATACTAATAGAATTTATCAAAAAGTATTTAATTAAGATATTCATGTTATATATTCTTAAAGCTTTCTATTATCAATATAAGAAATATTAGTAATAATATTAACCAGAAGTTTATAAATATTAATTATCATGCACATCAATATTAGAATGAATATGTTAAAGAATAATTTTATTAATTCATTCTTTATTCAGATATGAAACATGTGTGAGATTTACAAGAAAAAACATCAAGCCATTGATTAGCAAACAAATACGAAAGAAAAAAAATTAAATTAATGTCCACTTATGTCAATCGAGTGTTATAGTAATGAAATATATAAATTTACAACTATATTTCACTCAAGTTTTTTATTAACACTATAGTCTCTACAATATTGTTGAATAAAATCTGTAAACTATTTTCAAAACCAATCAATCGAAAATTTTTTTCTAATTCATATTTAACTTCAAATTAATCATTTATTAGATAAACGAAAGTGTGCTGATAATAATAAAAAGAAGAAACTCAATAGGCATCTAATTTAAATGAAGTTAATAATGTTGAATTTATTTGTTCTCTTTAGTTTGAAACGCAATTTGGTTATTTGATAGGTTTCTTTGTCTGTTCCCTCTATAGATGGCCTTGACAAAACTTTTTTTTTCTCGAAATCAGAAGTATTCATATCAAATCATTGAAAACTTACTTAGAAATATCTTCTCTCGATTGTGATCGTGATAGATTCGTTCGAATTGATGGTCGTCTTTCCGATGTATGAAAATTATTTATTGAATTGGTTGAATAATAATGATGATGTGATGAATCTGGTACAAATGTTCGACAATGATGAGAAGTTGAAGAATTTTTATATTTTCCATCATAAGATTCATTTAATGTTGAATCATGACTACGACGTAAATGTGCTGATGTTTCCATTGATTCTGGTTTTGATTCATGTAAACTATACAAATAAATAAAATAAAAATCGAAATGTGATAAATGAATTCTAACCTATTTGTTGATGATAGATATTCTTCAAAACGTCGTTTCATTTTTTCTTCAAGTTCATGCATATAAGCTTCATATTGTTTTTGTTGTTTTTCTAAACGTTCTTTATGTTCACGTTCAAGTTTTTCAAGCATAGATAACCAAGTATCCTATAATCGAATACATTAAATCATAAATGAGACTTATTTATAGCGGCGACGCCAGGAATTTAGACTAGGGTGGGCTCAGGCCTAATGAGTTTCAAAAAGAGTGGACTCCGGTAGAATATCACTGGTTTTTTTAAGATTTGAAAAAAATTTCAGAGTGCGCTGAGTCTACCCCACCCAGTGGCGGATTTAGGGGGACGATCGCCCCCCCCCCCTCTTTGGAATTTTTTTAGATTTATACTACCTCGATTGGACTCAAAAAATAGGTTTTAGCCGAAATCGCCCCCCCCCTCTTCCAAAATCCTAGATCCGCCACTGACCCCAGCCCACCCTTGGCGCCGCCACTACTTATTTATTTTCTTACATTATTTATTGATTGATTATTATCTTCCTGATTTATATGACGAGAAGATAATGAAGATCTTTGATGATGATGAGGTTTTTTTTTTGTTGAATTTGTTTGATCAATATTTTGATTTGATGAACGTCCTAATAAAATATCACTTGCTGATGTATAGGGTCGTTCTTGATCATTAAGATTTGGTTTTAAATGAGTATTTAAATCATTATATTCTTCATCTATGGATAAATGTGGTTGAGATGATGAATGTTGTTTTTGTTTTGTTCGATTAACAACATATTCAGCAATTGAATCTGTATCTGACGATGCTGATAATTGACGTAAACGTTGATGAACTTTTTGTTTTGGAGATATATTTATATGTTGTTTTAATTTTTCATTAGGAGATGTTGTTGTTTGTTGTTGTTGCTGTTGTTGTTGTTGTTGTTGTTTTGTAGGTGTTGTATGAAGATCATCAATTGATTGTGCAATGATAACAACAGTTGGTGATTGCATAAATCCATCTGTTCCATTAATTAAATCATTCCAATTAAATTCATATTCTTGTGATTGTTCTTGATTATCTGTCCGAGTACTCGCATTTGTACTTAAACGAGGTATTGACGATAAATTATCATTATCAATATTAGTAGAATTTTGAGTAGGAAAACGAGAATTTTTATTTGGTTTATATGATGTGTTCTAGATGAAATAAGAAATAAAAAGTAAATATTTTATTTTTGTAATTCAATTGATCATGCAAGGTTAGTTTTCATTTAAGTTTTGATCATACCATTTGCAAAACTATATTGTGTATGTATATATACACGTAGAGGCAAGGACATTTTTATTTGAAGGTAAAAAGAAATATAATTATATCCTTGAGTAAAAAATCTATCTTAAATTGATATTTAATATCAAAAAAGCTAAAGGTATATATTTCAATATCGTTATGGTTTAATTAATTTTGTTTATTTTAAAATCTATATAATCTTAATGGAACTTTATTTGATAGAACTAAATATTTGATTAGCAAAAGAAACTGAAATAATAGATATCAAAAAGAGATAATCGTCTATTTTTAGTACACTTACTTCTAAATCTGATATAGTAGACTGATTTATATCAATTATTTGATGGAACATGAATGTAACATAAAATATCCGAGGAAAATAACTTAAGATTATGAAAGGCAATGAAAAGAGAAGCTATTCATAACGTTATAAATTGTAAAATTTAACGAAAACAATTATGTAATAGTATAAGCTTGTTTTATATATCAGATACGTTATCTTATTGACTGACCTCGTCATTCTGACTAATGATGTGTATCCGAAAATTTTTATTAGATACGACAAGGATAATAAACATCATTATGCTTATTATTTAGGGTATTTCATGAAGCAATTGATATTATGATTTAATCCTCTGTTCATAACATACAATACGAAAATATATTTTATATAGTAAATCATTTAGTAAAGAATCGCATGGCTGACTAATTAATAATACTAATTCTTGATATTCTTTTATATACATCTTTTAGTGAATATTGATAAATCAACATTTATGTAGATTTTGTCAATATTCGACTAGTAATTCAATACTTATCAAACGGTAAGTAGAAAGAAAAATATTTGAAGACAAATTGACAAGTTTCAAATAAAGTAATACTATATGAACGAAAAAATACTAACCTCTTGTACATTATTATTTGGATTATAATTTTGTGCTGATCGTTTAGTGTTATCACCATGTTCTTCAACAAAAAGTTTTTGTCTCATATCAACATTGATATCAGTATCATTATCTCGATGATTATCATAATCTTCAGTTGACACTGATGACACTTCTTGAATAGTTTCAGATAAATGATTTAAATCATTATCACCAATTGTTAAATTCTCTTTTTCTTTCATTTTATGAATATTATTATTAGTAGTTGAAGAAGATCGATGATTGACAGATTCATTGCTTGATTCTGATGAATGATTTGGTGATAAACTTTGATTACTTCCATCGGTTGAATTTTTTTTTTGACTTTCATTATCATCTACAGTCGTATAATAATTTGTTTCATCAGATAAAAGTTTTGTCACATCATACTTAATGAATACAAATAAAATAATAAGAAAAAAAAAGAAAAGATTTTATATTACCAATCTTGTTTCACTAAAATCAAGGTCTTTTAATAATTGACTATACTTAGGTTGACTTATACGAATATCATTTCTTTCTTCGTTATCATCATCATTCTCTTCATTGTTATCATCTTGATTATGAACAGTAGTATCTAAAGAAAATGAATGTTTTTACATCTAAATATGATCTCTCATACCTCTTCTTCTTTCTTCTTCATCTATTACTTCAGTTGTGACATGATTATCATCATTAAATACTTGAGTATGATCATTAACAAACGTATAACCTGTTGCCGAGGATGTTGCTGGCATGAATACAAATGGAACTATTATAATCATAAGATAATATAGAAAAAAATTCATACAAAAAATAACTTACAGTCACCACGAACATAAAATTCCTGAGGAGGTGGATTATTATCTGTATTAGAGTGTGTCATCTGAAAAAAAAAATACAAATAAACAATATGAACTTATCGAAAATCTTTTTTTCTTTTGTCCAACTTTCGAGTGTGTCTTCAGTAGTAAAAAAACGAAAGATACATATTTCTTTCTGTCTCTTCGTTCCCTCTCTTTCTTTTTTCTTACACCTCTACAAATTTATGTCAATGAAAAGAAAAATGACTACCTTGTTCTTATTTTCTTCCTCTACTTTTTTCTATCGAACAATGTACAATATGGTTTACAACGCTAATAACAAGGAGAGTATTGTATCTATGTTATCAAAAAACAAAGCAAGTCCAAGTATAACATTTAATTTCTCGTTTGTCAATATTCTTGATATTTTCTTTTTGTATTAATATGATCAAGGAGAAGCTGATTTTCTATCAAGGTAGTCTCTATATTGTAATATTATCAAAGCAATTACATAATAACCATATCTTGTCTGTCGTTCTGAGTGATTTATGATATTAACTGACATGTTAGCGTAGCGATTTGTTAGTCTTTTGCGTAGCCTAATAAAAAAATAAAATAATAAACGTTTTATTGAAATAATAATAATAATAATAATACAAACGCATATATTTTTTCTATTCAAAAATAATAATCTTACTTTTATTTCTATACATGATACATAAATTTCAGTTAATATCGAATTATAATTTCCTTATAGCTCTGATACAGACATAAAAACAACTACACAAATATTTTTTTTTAATGTCAAGCAAATTATTTATTACAAAAGAAAGTTAAATATTTTTGTTATAGTGGAAAAAAAAATATTATATTACGATTTAATCTCTATTCATGTGCTTAGTAGGATCAGTGAACGATAGAATACATTAAAAAAAGCTTTAAGATCGTTTAATTCTTTCTATTGTTATTATTATTATTATTATTCGAGCGCTTATTGTGATTTGAAAAGGAATATTATGATAAAAAATGAAAGTATTCATTCTATACCTGAGTATTGATTGAATAAATCTAATAGCACATTTTTGCAATAAATCACAATTCTAAAATTTTTATGAACAGCGATAGACGAAAGAAAAAACAAATTAAAAATGTGTATAATGAACAACTTACAATGAACTTTATAAACAAAATTGTCACAGCTTTGTTCAGTTATGTGAATATATATCTCAATTTTTTTGAAAATTATTGATCGTATTTACATTACAAAAACAATTGGTAAGATTATTCATAAAAATTTGAACAGTACACCAGCCATGACAGTTCAATTGAGTTGAAAAAAAAGTTAAAATTCCTATGACTCATTATTTACTGCCATTCATTCCTTTCATCAAGAGGTCACTAGTTAACGAATCCACATCTTCTATTTTCTCAAGTTTGAACAATATGATGCATCGTGTTAAATAAATAGAAGAATTCAAAATTAATATCTTGATTTTTTTTTCTGGATATGCTTATACTATAGACAACATACAGATAATGAAAAAAATGAACAATACATAAACAAACGATGGGAAGAAGTGTTTTTTTTAAATATATATATATATACGGAAAATACAACAAAATGGTAAGACAATAGAGAAAAATGAGAATTTTGTTTTCATTCTAACACTCATCTCACGAATATTGAGTGTTTTTTGATTATATCTCTCGACTTGGTTTTGTTTTTCATTCAAAAGTTTAGAAGAATATATAAATAGAGAGAAACGAGACTTACATATGAGATTCTCAAAGATTAAAAGTAACAACATTTTGTGAAATGAATAAGACAAAACAAAAATGACATAAAGAATAAAACAGATCTTTCATTTCTATATCTAACGATTAGGAAAAAATACATTAATATGTTGGTGGTTGATAATTTGATTGTGCTTGTTGTGTTGCTGTAAATGGTGGTTGAGAAAAGCTACCAACACCGCCAGCTGGTGGATAGCCGCCATAAGTTTGTCCACCGCCTGCGGAATGATCTTCATAACCTGAACTGAATAAATTCGAAACACCTTCGCGATAACGTTGAAATGCAAAGAAAGTTGATGCAGCCTAAAAGAAAAAGAATGAAGCGATTTTATACATATACATATATGCAAACAACTATCTATACCCAAACTAAAATTGAAAAGAAAGCAAATGCAATAGCTGCTTGAACACTATTCCGACCATTCCATCCTGGTAAATCTTTTTCATCTTCTTGTCGCCATTGATCAGTCATATAACAGAAACCAATAAACCATAAAAATGTCAATGCACCTAATGAAATCAATTCACTTTTATTAGAATATTTCTATGGAAAAAAATTTCTCCAATTACCTGATGCTCCTAATTCTCCTAATACAGCTGTTCGACGTGTTTTAATATTTGAAATATTTGGAAAATAAACGTCAAGTGCTGTAAATGCAATTGTTAAAAGAAATGCAATAACACCAATTCCAATACCATAACCACAAGCATTCGAACCATTATAACGGCATGTACCATCAACATAACCTTCTTGGGCAAGAGATGCAAAAACAATTATAGCAAAAACCTATTGAACATATATAATAGAAAAATTTCAACTAAACTATGAATTTTATACCCAAGCAACAATTCGTAAGATAACTTGAGGTTTTTTAATAAACTCAATTGCATCAAATGCAGATCCGGCTCGGCCGGCACCAAATGCTTGCGGTTCTGTTGATGGATTCATTCTCCTTTCTTTTTTTAAATAATACGATTAATATAAATATCTTAAAGAAAAAAAGCAATCAATCAAAACTTTCAAGTACTTCAACAAACAAAATAAATAGAAGCATTTGATCGATCGATCAATCAGTTTTGTATTTACGTTTAAAATGATTCATATATCATCGAAGCAACAATAATCATAATAACAACAAAACAAATAATTTCACTTTCTTTCAACTGACATCTGTTGAACTTATGTAAATAAAAAACAACCTGTTTTAATCTATGTTTGATTTAATAGAAAAATAATTTCATAGATAAATCATTATGAAATCTTTCTATGATTAATGATTTACTTAATAAACTTAAACAATGACAAGATATGATCAATTACTTTTCAGATGTCACTAAGTGCAGATCAGAAATATATCCATTGTGAAAGCATAAGTCAACTTAAAATAATCTCAGATTACAGTTCCATTTCGAAATTGATTTTCCTACAACATTGTAATATTTTCTTTATGAATATGATTGATTTGATATTTTTTTAAGAATATATTTATTTTATGAAATTATGTAGAAATGAAATATAGCAAAGAGACAAGGAGGAAGAAATAAGACTCATATAAAATAAACAACTTTCCAATATACCACTAGGTATAAACTTTCTAGTAAAAATCATATCCCTTATTCGATGTAATACATAGAAAAAAACAAACAAAAATCTTGATAAATATTCAATGTTTATCGCAATTAAATTATTTCTTTGTTTTATCTTTGCTTCCTTTTGCTGATGTTGGTTTACCAGAAGTTTCAGACTCTTTTTTCTCTTCTGGTGGAGGATTTTCCGGTTCTTTTTTTGTGGTGCTTTCAGCTGATGCTTGTCGAGGACCAGCCGACTAAAACAAAAATATAAATTATAGTAATGTCATTCGTTAGAGAAGAGAGATCTACGACTGGGACGAAATACGGAAGGCTAACCACATTGAATTAGAATACATATTAATGTATTCTTCTTAGGCATGCACCCAGTGCGAGTCGGACTGGGTCCCCGATCGGACTAGTCACCCAGTCGGACTGTACAGGTGCATGCCTAGTTCTTCTCTCCTCTAGCAAAACAGTATACATCATGCTAACATAAACTGAACCGAAGCAAATTATTCATTTCACTTTAGCTTTTTATCTGTATTTCATACTTTGGGAGCATGCCAACCGAGTTCATATTTGGCTATATTATTTAAATATGCATTGTTTTGTTGCGAATCTCTTTGCCAACCTTCTCGAGCTAAGATAGGTTTACGATCAACAATTCGTTTTGCTAATGTTCCATTTTCTTCTGCAACACGTAATAATTCTCGTCGACGTTTTTCTTGATTAAGACTAATAAAGAAATCATATATATATGTATTTAGATCACTTGACTTTTTTTATTCATATACCTTCTTGCTTCATAATTATTACGATTATCAATACAACCAGTTGTTTTCATTGTATGTGCCATTTTTTCTAATAAAATACGATTATCACGTTCAACAATTGCTGTACGTTCCTCTTGTAACTAAATTAAAAGAAATTCATTTAATATTAATTTTGCATATATATAAAAACAATATACTTGAAGTTTTTTTAATTTCATATGAAGATGCATATAAGTTCTTGGAGGACGTGTATCAATACTTGGTCGAGCATCACGTACCTAATAAAAAAAAATCTTATTGTAAACAAAACAATCTATTAAGCAAAAATTACTAAAAGACGATGTTCAGAATAATATTTATCATCCCATTTCTTTTTAAGAAGTCGATTAGAAGCCGGAAGTGTTGATTGATATGACTTATGCATTGTTTTATCTAAAGATATATTTATTGTGAGAAGAAAAAAAAAGTATGAATTTTAATATGTATAAAATCAAAATAATAATGGCATTTTTGTCATGATGTAAACTATGTAAACAGTTGCTTTGACAATTGATGAATTATGAAAAATAGCTGAGCACAACATTACGACGATAGATGACTCGAGTTTTCAGTTATTATTGCTCAAACTTTTTTTTCAAAATGATTTTCTTAAGAATAAATATAAAAAAAAAGTCTTTTATTTGCTTATATTACTAACAAACAATAGATTATTGAATAAACTATTCGGTGCATAACTTTTGGATTAATTTTAAACTAACAAACATTCAGTTAATTGTATATGTAGAAACCATAAAATATTCAGACAAGAATCTCTATAACATCAAGTTTGGTCTGTAAACAAATGTAAAGCTTTTCTTTCAATGCTCAACATTTAAATGAATATTTATAGAATAGTTAAATTTCATTTTTGTGTATCCAAAAAGGGCGTGCACTATAGAATCGGCCAATGTCCGTTTACACGATAACTTCCGATTGTTATGAAACTTTTTGCAGTGTATTATCTCATCAATTCCATGGGCTACAAAATGATGCTAAATTCTAGGAGTAAATAGAACTTGTCAAGAACTCTGAATAATGATATATCTTAGGGTTGAATGCTGTACGTCCAAGGTTTTCTCTATATTACATTTTGCGAAAAACCCATGTCATGTATACTGATATTGCTGCTTTTTACACAGGTTAATCAAAACCAATCTGTCCTCAGCCACACTTTTTGAAGTATACATAATACTTGGATTTCAATCCGAGATCTTCACATTTATTTTTTTGTAATAGTTGTTTATGTCACAAATACAAGATTTATTGAATTTATACTGTATTCTTCATTTACCGACAAATTGAATAAATTATTCTTTAGTATAAATGCTTCCGGAGAACTAATTTTCTCGTATATTATTAGCAGTAGTATAGAAAGAAGTTGATGCAATCTGTCTATTGTTATTATCGAATAGAATAATAGAAAGTTATTTTCAGATCTTAAATAAATAATAATCTTTATGGAAAATAACTAAAATAGAGAAAAAAACTGAATTAATAAAAGAATATGGAATATTACATTATATTATCGAAAGACTATTGTTTAGATCGACCTAATGAGATTTCAATTGACAAAAGAAGAATGATCAATTAGTTGAAGTAGCGTAGATTTAGACACCCTAGTAAATAAATACAAAGATTCTCCTTTAATTTTCGAAACTTTCTTGTATAGCTTCCATTATAGATAATTTTAATGGATAAGTATTCTATTAAACTATTTATTTATAACAAATTACATATAAGAATATACAACACTAAGATATATGTTTATTTTTTTTTGTGAATTTTTGATTGAGGTTTATTTTCATTATTTTTATCGGCATGAATAACAAATGTTTTATTATCAACATTAGTCGATGAAGTATTTATTAATCGATGTAAATTTATTCGTCTATAAAGAGAAACAAAAATTATTCTTTTATCAAATTATTCTTCGACTAACTTTTCTATTGTTTGTGTTAATTGCTGCCAATATTGTTTTTCTTGTTTAGTACGATTCTTTATCTGACAATTAGAATTATCGATTTCATTGTGTAATGTTTGTAATCGCTAAAATAAAATTCCATATAATTCATTTAGTTTTCAATAATAAGTCAATTTCAAGGAGATAGGAGAAAAGACTTCATGCTGTTAAGATATGAAGCTTCAGAACATGTTTATTAAAGAGAAGAGAGTACTTCGCTTGTCAGGTCAAAAACTGCGTGCTGATTTTTATAGTACAACATCGGAAAGTGTTCGAAGCGGGAATTGTCGTTCTAAATTATATTCCAGAGTACTAGAGTATCGCTTTTCCTTCTTTGAGTATAGACATATAACGAGTGATTAGTTAAGATCCAGTGTTTCTTTTTCCCCTAGAACTCCCAAGACTATCATTAAAAACTATTCAGTTTTATCTAATTAGCTTTCAATAAAACTCTTGTAATATTCTCAAGAGTTCTATAAGGAGCAAAAAAATGAATCTTTACTAATCACTCTTCAATCTCGCTAGATACCTCGATTAGTACGTCATTGACTACAAAAAATAATTTTTCGATTATCGTCGAAGTATAATGTTCTCCTATTAACATATATATAAATCTTATTCTTAAAATCACATGTAATTCATGAGAAAAACTTTATTTACTTGTTGTAAATGTTCAATTAATGAAGTCTTCAATATTTGTCTTTCATATTGTACAATTTGTAATTCATTTTTTAAATTATTTAATTGTCGGCATAATCTTTTTTGAACTATAGAAAAATTCTTTTATTAAAAATCTAAATAATTCATTAATTCTTACCAATAACAATACTTTTTCTAATTAAATATCTAGCTGTTAAATTATTTAATTTATTTTTTAAAAATAAATCACGTTTCCATCTGATTTGAAATTCTCTTATATCTGACATTAGAGGATCTGAAAACGAAAGTTCGTATTCAATTTTATTTTTGCATAGGCAAGACTTTTTTTTTCATTTATTCGAAAAAAAAATTTCTGAATAAGAAGTCATGAATAATAGCGATAACAGACTTATAGAAAGAAGAAGAAGAAGAAGAAAAATTGTTATGTGATTTTTTTTCCGAAAAAAGACAAGCTATACACATAGGATCACTTTGCAAAGAAAAACATACACATACAAAGATAATTGCACAATAATTGTCTTTACATAATTTGTCTGAAAATTAAAAAGGAATACAATTGCAACAAATTTGGACTAAACATAATTAAGAGATCCACCGGCTGAAGAGAGAGAAAGAGAACAAAAAAAAAACATACTGTTAAAACATATGGAAGTTAGAAGCATAGAAAAACAAAGAAATACACGAAAAGAAAAAGAGAAGCTATTCTGCCCATTTTATTAGAAATAAAATAAAACAAGATATTGACCTAATTGTCTCAAAAAGGAATGATAAATTTCTATTTAACGGCATTGGCAGTTTCTTCAAACTAAAATAAACAAAAAATCAAATAAATGAAATTCAATGTTTTTTATGATATTCACATACCATTTTACATATCACAGTGACAACATATAGACAAAACATATAAAGCAAATTTTATTTTTCTCTTACATGTAATCTTTGCATAATAGTTAAATATGCTTGGGAATTAAGATCTTTTTCTTGTACACCTTGTAATTCAAAACTTCCATGAGTTTTCTATAAAAATAATAAAAATTATTTGAAAATAAATAATCTTTTTTTGCTTTTATACTTTAATTATTAATAATAAACAAGCTAATTGATATGGATGAAGACCAATTTCTGTTCTTTCGCCAAGCCACATAAAAACAAATTGAGTTTGTTGTCGATACCATTCCTTAAAAAAAAATAAATATTTTTGTTGTTGAGATTTAATATTGATTTTACTTCAAATATATTTAATGTAAATATTTCATCACTGATCTTCTGACGTAATTGTTCTAAATTAGCATTAACACATAAGACATATGCTTGTCCATCTTCATTGATTGGTTTCTAAAGACGATAAAATAAATAGATTAATTCAATAACAAAAAAATTTCGGTTTATACTGCTAATGAAAGTATTTGAGCAAAAAATGATCCTTCATCATAACGCGATAATTTTTTAAATACAGAATCAAGTACACTGATTAATTTTTGTATTAATGCTCTTGACATATCACCAAGAATTTTTTCTAAATATTCATCAATACGTGTATGATATTGATGAAGATCACCACTATGTAATGCACATAATTTTAACGCCTAACAAAATTCAAGAATTTATTTAAAGATATATATACAATTAATGATTATTTTACTTGAGCTTTACAATCGAGTATAACATTAACCATAACACAACATTCAGATGGTAATAAATAATCTGAATTAGTACCACCAATTAAACCACCTTTCTTTATCCAAATTTCAAAATGACGCGATACTCTAAACAATTTAAACAAAAATATATTAATATCGCGTTTCATTTCGGGGAATGGAAACGCTTCAAAACAAGAAGGCGAACATCCTTAATTTTCAGTATTAAATAATGCGGAAACACTTTATACAAGTTTTGATTATGTCTACAGTCAGCAATTAATATTGTCATATTTTCCATACCTTTTTCCGCAAGCTTCAATCATATCTGATGCCATTTGTTTCAGTCGTTTTTCTAAATGTTCACCAAACATTTCATCCGGCTAGATAAATAAACATCATTTAATAATATGAAAATTCTTGTTTTTTTCTTCTCCTCACATACCCAATGTAGATCTCGTATAAAGCATTGTAAAGCATCAAGTTTCCATAACATATCTTCACTAGTCGCACATCCTCGACTAAATTAAATATGAAAATTTGGATAACAAAAGATACAAATCGAATACATACGTTCTTGCTTTCCAATTTTCTTTTTCAAAACCTTTATGAATCGATTGTGCTATACATGATTCCATTAAATCAACATATCGAATAACTAATGGAGCAAATGTATCACGTAATTGTTGATGAAATCGACCGTTTGATAATGTATCTAAGAAGAAATTGTTGATTTCTAGAAATTAATAATAATAATGATTTCTTTTTTACCATGTACACGAAGATAATCATTTAATAATTGAAATAATGGAAATGAATCCCAACTTTCAATTGGTTGTTGATCAATAACATGTTCCATATCAACAGCAAATAATGACCAAAATATTTCTTCATGTTCCATTAATAAATCATTATATTGTTGAAATGCTTCTTGATAATGTTCAGAATCTTGTTGTAATAATTCAATACATAATTCTGCTAAATGTATAAGATCATCAATTTTTTTTCGTGGTGAATCATCAGTATTATAAATTGTTTCTAAATAAAAGAACAAGAAATTCGTTTATTATCTATTCCTATATCATATATAAATAACATGCATTCTACAATACAAGACAATGAAGGGGGAAGGGTACATTATTATTTTTTTCGTGATACAAAAACGGACAAGATTTACCATTATCATTTTGTTGCTGATTCTCTCGTTCGCCTGGAAAAAAATTATAGATCAATCGAATATTATTTTAATGATCTTTTAAGATTTCTTTGTCTTTTTTCAAATAAATTACCTTCAATTTTAGCTTGATCTGATACACGTGTATAATTTGTATATGCAGCATTTTCAAGACATTTCCGAATAAAATATCGTATATCATCACGAGATATTGGTGCAGATATATCCTTAGTTAGAACACGTTCAAGTAAACTTAATGTTGCTTTTAATGCGCCTTCAGGTCGACCAAATGGAAATGAAAATCTAAATGAAATAAAACGATACGATTTGTTAAGCATCTTTCATTCCAGATGAACAAACTTCAGTGATTGATGTATTCTACTCTTAATTTAGTCCTCGGGCATCCTAAAGTTCTACTAGAATAACATAGTGACTATATTGATGAAAACTTATTATGGCTTTGCTTTACTAATGAGAAACTTTTTCGCTTTCCTCTAAGAGTTTATAAAACATACATGATGAATATTCTACTCTACCTGAAATTCGTCACTTGATGTTCAAGAAATTGTCTTAATCGTTCTTTTATTTCATTAAAACGATCTTTTTCTTCCATTGTAATCGTTGATGCACTACTATCAGGTCTAAAGAAAAATTACAATCAAAATATTTTTTTTATCTTATTTATGATTATTATTTATATATGTACTAACCGACTTCCTGAGACATGTGAAGCACAAAATACATAACTATAATGAAGTAATTGAGGATCAATCATAAATCCTTGTTCAGCTCGATCAAGTAAATCATTTAAATAATAAAGATGTCTTAAACAACCACGAACACCATATCGAGAACAATATTCTATATCAAAATAATCTAGAGAAATTAATTTTCAAACCAAAAAAATTACCTTCTAGTACATAGCTTTGTCCAGGACTTAACCAACCCTAGTAAGAAAACAAAATACTTATTATTTATTTAAATATATAAAATTAAATATTCTATTGATCATCACCCGAGCTTAATTATTTATTTAAAATAAAAAAAAGCTGTTAAACTTACGTCTAATATTTATTTAAAAGAAAAGAGAAGGAAAATTTTTTGTTTAAAGATAAAATCAATACTAATAAATTTCTTATTATATTTACCAAAGAACAATATGGATCATTAAGACGAAAATCTAATGTTGCCGTTTGTAATGTTTTGAATAAATCATGATGATCAAATTTACACGGATCACTTTGAATATATTCATCAAAGCCCGTTTTCTTCGATCGATCCGCATCTATAAAAAAAAGAAAGGGAATATGTACAAGACTGTATACACATTAATATAATCGATTTTTTTCTTCCGTAATAATTGGTCTGACAGCCGAATCTGATCGGAAGTCATGAGTCACTAAATCAATTGATTTTCTGCCTCTATGCTTTTTAATCTTCATATTAATCTCTTTTTCTCTATTTACCAATTTGATCTTTTTGTCCAGATGTACCAGCTGCTTGTGTAGATTTCGTTGTTGCTGTTACAGGTGGTGTTGGTTTATGTGATTGACCAGTAGCACGATATAATGCTTGTACCCAACTATGTCTTTCATTTTCTTCATTGGTTGCAAATGTAACAACATCACCTTCTCGTACAGCTTTAAAAAAATATTTTGCATCTTGCATAACTAAACCTAAAAGAAACGAATATATTATTTATAGAAAAAAAATATTATTCATTAATGTACCATTATCTGGTTCAGCATAATCTACAGTATAACCTTCGAGTGGCATCATTTCCGTTGGTTCTGATTTCTTTTCACGATAACTACACATAGCAAAACAATATTGAGAAACCTAAAATTATATATGAAGTTATTTTAATAGAAGAAAAAAAGAAAACTCTCGATTATTATTTCACTGTTAGTATTAATCTCAAGAGAATTTTATGACTACAACTAATCTCTTTGGCTCTTCCGATACGATAAATTAAGTTACATTCCAATGATACACTTTCTAAAAACCTATTTACCTGAACAAGAGCATAGTATCGTCGTTTCCATGATTTCCAAACATTTTTACCACGAGCATAGCACCAACTAGAAATCGAATGTTACAATTCCATGTATATATACACATATGTCAAATCGATACATACCCACACATTTTAAGATTTTGTGGTTTTTCCATTCGTACATCTAATTTAACTTTTAATTCATCAGCTGATGCATTTTTTATTTTAACCATATCAATCCACCAATTTGTTTTATTAAATGTTGGATCAATTTGTAATGATAATTTACCAAGTTTATTATCATCTAAACTAAGTATACCTGAACTTTCCATATAAAGTTTAACTTTAATTATTGGTAAAATTTGATTTGTTGGAAATTCTGCTAAGGATTCCCATACGGGTTTACCAGCTTCAGCATGTTCCGTACGATATTTTTCTCCACCTTCAACTTCCATTGTA